AAGACTGGGCAAGGGGATTCTTAAAAGAATCCATCAGGTCTCTCACATGGGAACCAGAAGAATGCAGGACTTGCTCTGACACGCAGAAGTAAAAATTAGGCAAGGAAATCAACTCATTGAGGACATTGTTAAAAATTGTAAAGCCTGTCAGCTCACCAATGCCCCCAATCAACCGGTTACAAAAGGAGCTCGCCTCTGTGGAGATAGGCCAGGTGTGTATTGGGAAGTAGACTTCACAGAAATTAAAATTGGAAAATTTGGAAATAAATATTTGCTAGTTTTTGTAGACACCTTTTCAGGATGGGTTAAAGCCTACCCAACAAAGCATGAGGCTGTGAACGTTGTGGCTAAGAAGATCCTGGAAGAAATCCTACCCAGGGATGGCTTCCCATCCACCACTGGGTAGGACAATGGACCAGCCTTCGACTCCAAAGTAAGTCAGGGAATAGCCGCTGCACTGGGGACAGATTGGAAATTGCACTGTGCTTTTAGACCCCAGAGTTCAGGGCAGGTAGAAAGAATGAATCAGACTCTAAAAGAGACCTTAACTAAATTGGCCTTGGAGACTGGCGCAGACTGGGTATCACTCCTTCCTTTTGCCCTGTTTAGAGTAAGAAATTCACCCTATCAGCTTGGCTTTACTCCTTTTGAAATAATGTATGGATACCCTCCACCCATTATCCCTAGCATTCAGACTGAATTGCTTGCTGATTTGGATGATACTGAATTTCTGTGTTAGCTTGACTATTTACAGCTGGTACATAAGAGAATGTGGCCCCAGCTTAGAGCATTATATGATTCTGCTTCTATTCCTACCCCCCATTTGTTTAAACCAGGGGACTGGGTGTTTGTTCGAAGGCACAACTTGAAATCTCTGGAACCACGGTGGAAGGGAATTTACATGGTGCTACTGGCTACACCTACTGCCCTTAATGTGGATGGCATTGCTGCTTGGATCCACTGCTCCCACGCCAGACTGGCTGACCCCTGGATGACCATGGGGAAACATGGGAAGTCTCCAAGCATCCTACCCAACCACTCCGCATACGCCTCAAGAAAAGAAAAATGAACTGATTGTTATTGGTATTGTTTATGGCTAAGGTCAGAGAGGGACTAGAAGAACCCGTTCAAGATCGAGAGCTGTTGGAGTTTAGTTTGGAGTTTAGATTGTGTCTCAGGACCATAAGTCAAGGCGGGGAATGAAGGGTTAAAGTTTTGAGGCAGTGATCACTTGTTGCTTGTTTCTAGCAGAGCAACACATGGTGGTAATCCAAACACATGGTTGGTTGTGTACCTTTATAAGACCTGAAAATCTTTAGCTTGGGGCTCTCCTCCTAGGCACCACTGTGTCTGAGTGTAAGACGAGGCTCGAGCTGCAGCCCGTTTAAATGTCAGAGTGTAGGACGAGGCCCAAGCTGCAGTCCGTCTAAATAAAACCTGGCTTTTGCATTTCAGAACATCTGACTCTCAGTGGTCTTCTTGGTGGGGTCCTGCGACTTGGGCACAACACTATAAAGTCAGCATTACCAGACAGAGATGTAACAAAAAAGAGAATTATAAACCAATTGTAAGTGACAAATATGTTTGCAAAAATTCCCAATAAAATTCTTACAAACAGAATCTAGTAATATGTCAAAAATATCCTATACTGGGGCTGGGAAGGTGGCTCAGTGGTAGAGCCTTGCATGCCTGAGGCCCTGGGTTCAATTCCTCAGCACCACATAAAAAAAAAGAAAAAAGCCGGAAGTGACGCTGTGGCTCAAGTGGTAGAGTGCTAGCCTTGAGCTGAAGAGCTGAGGGACAGCGCCCAGGCTCAGAGTTCAGGCCCTACAACTGGACCCAAAAAAAAAAAAAAAAAAATATATATATATATATATATATATATATATATATATATATCCTATACTATGACTAAGTCAGTTTCATTCTAGGAATGCAAGAATTATTCTATATAGGTACAGCAATAAATGTAATACATCACATAAACAAAACCAAGAACAAATCCCGCATGATTATCTCAATTCATATAGAAAAGTCTTCTGACACAATTCAACGTCCTTTTATGATAAAAGTTCTGAAGAAATTAGGAATAGAAGGGATATACTATAAAACATCTACAGCTAACATGATACTAAATGAGAAAAAATTGAAGTCTTTTCCTCTAAAGTCAGTAACAAGACAAAGATGCCCATTCTCTTCATTCTTCTTCAATATAGTACTAGAGATGTTACAGAACAATAAGGCAGGAGAAATAAATTAAAGGGATTCAAATAGAGAAAACAGAAATCAAATTTACCCCTATTTGCTGATGAGATGATTTTGTACTTAAGTGTCTGTCCCTGCAGACTCCATCTAATACCTCTACAATAAAAAGTATAAAATCTACCCTCTGTATAGTATCTTTACAATAAAAAAGCAACAAAAAAAGTATAAAATCTTGAAGTAATTAGTATCTTCACAACAAAAGAAGCAGTCACCAGAACCCAAAAACAACCCACAGAAAGGGAGAAAATTTTCAACAACTATTTAACACAAGTATTATTATCCAGAACATACCAAAAATTCAATAAATTAAACCACAAAAGAATAAATAATCCAATTTAAGTGGGCAAACAAACTGCACAGATAATTCTCACAAGAAGAAATAAAAATAGCTAATAAAAATATGAAGAAATGTTCGACATCTTTAGCCACAAAGGAAATGAGATTACATCTCATCTGACTCAGAATGCCAGCCATCAAAACAACAAATAATAAATACTGATGACAATGGAGAGGGAGAGAGAGAGCGCATATGGAAAATGGAAAATATGGAATAAGTGGTATGCCAATTCTTGTTAGACAATAATTACAACAAATGTAAATTGGTTAACTTTGCCAATTAAAAGACAAAGATCTTCATTTGTGTATAGTAAAACTAAATCCAACAAAATATTATGTAACATACTCTTCAAACAAAAAGGCCCAGATAGCTTAGAAATAAAAGGAAGCAAGGGTAAACAAAATAACCAGGAAAATAATGTCAATATCAGATAAAATATACTTCAAGACTAAAGGGTGCCATATGAAACAAAAATATAAGAGATATAAGGACCCCACAGAGGTAAAAATGATCAAAAGTTTGTATGATTTAGCAAAGTCTCAAAGAAAATCAACCAATCACTGACAGAGGAAGAAATAAATGAACAATTGTGGTTATAATTCTTTAAAATATTTGTCACTGAAAACTACAATTTCAAGTAAATAATTTAGGTATGAAGAATTGAATAAAATAATCTCATTTTATATATATATATATATATATGCATACATGAGTATTGACATGTATATATTAAACAGGGACTATCCCCTGAAATTTTTATGTGTGTGTGCTGGTGTAGGGACTTGAATTCAGAGCCTGGGTGATGTCCTTGGGCTTTTTGATCAAGGCTAGTACTCTACTATTTGAACCACATCTCTACTTCTGGTATTTTGTTGGAGATAAGAGTCTCAGAGACTTTTTGACGGGGCTGCCTTTGAACCATGATCCTCAGATCTTAGCCTCCTGAGTAGCTAGGATTATAGGCAGGAGCTATAGGTGACCAGTGAGATGAAATATTTTAATTGGAATATTTTTATAACTATAATACAAATATTTATCTCAAGAGATTGTAGAAAAATAAAATAAAACTAACATTTAAAAAATTAGTAATAAAACTATAAAAAGTAGTAATAAAACTATAAGCTGGGTCTTTAAAAGATTACAACTGATCTCCAAAGTAAGATATCAAAGAAAGAAGAGAAAGTATTAAATATAAATAATATATGATATAAATAATAATTGAAATGTTATAATGAAGAGCAGTATAGATACTTCATCAGCATTTAATCTGAAAATCTAGATTAAATAAATCATTAACTAAGAACTCCAAAATTGTCTTAAACCTTAGAAAACTTGAAAAGACCATGAAGTGTTAACAGTGCTCACCAGCTGTGAGTCCTGCTCCACCTCTTCCCATGGAAACAGTTGTCACCATGGTTGGGAAAGAGGACGCTGCCAACCAGTGAACAGTACCAGACTCTGGCCTCTGTGATCATTCCATCCACAGGACCATCATACCCAGAGTCCTTCCAGGCAAAAGGTTGGACTACAGGGGAGAAAAATTCAACAACCAGTTACAGTCAAATACCCTGGAGTTTCAATGGACACCTTTGTAGCCTCAATAGACAAAATAAAGAAAACAGAATTAATCAAGAAAAGAAACAAAAGAAAGGGAGCAGTCTAGTAACTAATTTGATAGCCCTGAAATAAGGCAGGCCTGAAGCCCTTTCTACATTTTGGAACTCTCATTCAAGAAACCAAATAAACACTTTTATGCATTTATTCATTTTTTGCTTTAGAATACCGTGAGCTCAATGTCTATTTGCAGCAACAAACGTAATGAATAAATGGTGGGGAAGGGCAGTGTGTTACGTTCGGAGTTGGATGGTCTTGGATTTGACCCTGAAGATTGGTTTAGTTAATGCACCCCAGTTTCCTTACCTACAGAAGAGCGAGGGTAACAGTCCACTCATAAAATCTTGGCTGTCTCTCCTACCAGACTGAGCCCAGCAACCCCTGAGGGCAGGACCTCACCTGCATTGTCCCCTTCCAGAGATAAGCACTTGGTTTTCCATAAAACAAGCAAATGATATGTATTTTGCTTCTTATCAAGGGCATAGGTGACTTCTCTGCCAGCTAGCAAGGAGCAAACACAAGCACAATTTTTATTAAAAAATAACTCATATATCTAGCTGGATAGAGCTAATGAAAATGAAAAACTTTCAGAGAAAAGTTAGTTTGCTGTATTTACTCATATTTCGGGGGGGGAATTCCCATTAGTTAATGATTGGGGTTGGGGACCACTGAATGATGAAGGACACTGTCCCTTTGTAACCATTAACCAGCAAGGAAGTAGGCAAACAAGATTTAGCAGGGGCATCCCAGCCCACTTACTGTACACAGGCTGGGATCCCAAGCAGCAGGACCAAGCCGGTGAGAAGAACCTCAGTCCACTCAGAACGGTGAGTGACTTCTCTGTGCCCCATACCCCCGGCCCCTGTACCTGCTGGCTCTCCAGAACAAAGCTCTGACTGCAACTGGCTGACTTGTTTGCTTTTTCCAATGGAGTGCTGAGCATTGGGGCAGCCAGCAGTGATAAGAGGTAACCCCAGGGAGCTCTTCCCAGGTCCTGGGGTCTGCAGGGTACCAGCTGGAGTTTTGATTTCCCCTGATCTCCTGCACTGCAGAGGGCTGGGCCTGAGGGCTGAAGCTGAATTCCAGCCTCTTGCACTGCAAGGCTGAAGCTCCTAAGCTCTGCCAGACCAAGGCAGGCGAGGCTGAGAGCTGACTTAGACTGGGCAGCAACCTGAGGCCACCCAGAGGGCTGCATACCTGGCACAGGACAGGGGTCCTGCAGATTCTTGGGGTGACCTGGGACAAGGATGACGCATTTAGAACACACTCTGTGTGCATCCTACCACGTGCCCACATGTTCTGAGGCCTAGAGCTCTGTACAACCCATGGGTTAGAAAGAATAAACACAGGGCTAGGAAGGTGGCTTAGTGGTAGAGTGCTCGCCTAGCATGCACGAAGCCCTGGGTTCAATTCCTCAGTACCAGATAAACAGAAAAGGCTGGAAGTAGCACTGTGGCTCAAGTGGTAGAGTGCTAGCCTTGAGCAAAAGAAGCTCAGGGCCAGTGCCCAGGCCCTGAGTTCAAGCCCCAGGACTGGCAAAAAAATAAAAAAAAAAAGTAAACACAGATAATCACTCCATAAGTTACCTCAGGAAGGAGGGACCAAGACATTCCTAAAATGAAACACACGAATGATATTGAGACTGTTTTTGCCTTTGGCTGGGCTCTCCTAGAGCTAGGCCTGGGTTGCTCCACCTCATTGCTATCTGTTTCTCATCAGTACCAGGGGTCCCAGATGACCTGGGAAGGGAGGCCTTAGCCCAATGGCAGTGCACCTGGTACCACAGCAGTCTTGTGAGGCAGAGGGATTTGATTCCCACCTTGGAGGATAACACAAGGGGGAGGCTGGCATCCGGCATCTGATCTCCCAAGAGATAAAGGAAGGAAAGGGGGGCCCAACTTGGTCTTGGCCTTATGTCACTTGGGGTTCTTGTTCAAGAGAGAATTACAGACACACGTGGCAGTGACCAGAGCTGAAACAAAGATGATCCTGGTTGTGACACAAGCAGAGGCAGAGAGGACAGAAGAAAGTCTGCTGCAGGTGGTGGTGAAGCCCTTGAGTCTCCAAGACCAAGAGATGGTGATCCAAGCCAGGAAGGAAGTGTGCATCAACAGAAGAAGCTACACGAGGCAGAGCCATAGGAAAGCTGTCTGTCTCCAGATCTCAGCTCACCCTAGAACAGAGCTCCACACTGGGGAACTATAATAATTTACCCTGCTCTGCCCTGCCCTGCCCTGCCCTGACCTGCCCTGACCTGCCCCAACCTGCCTGCCTTGCAGTAAGATGAAAGTTAAATGTGACAAGAGAAACCTCTGACACCCTAGGTTGCTGTGCCTGAGACTTCAAGTGGTCAGAATTAAGGTTGGCGCGGGACTGTCATTAGGGACTGTCACGAGAGTTTCTTGGGCACATCAGAGGGGCTCAGGCCCACTCTGTGGGAACTGGAGAGCCTACTACAAGCTCTTTGGCAGGAACTTGGAGATGGGCTGCAGAGAAGAGATTGGAGGAAGCCAAAGAGGAAGCACAGATTCAGCATGCCAGCCTTATTTTACAGTGGGGAGACCGAGGCAGAGCGCAAATAGCCTGCCCCTTGTCATCTAGTTTATAAATGACCGTTCTGGGATCCGAACACAGCTTCTTCTGCCACAAAAAAATGAAATGTCCCAAGGACCCAGAAATGCAAGTCAGAAACCAGAGCTGGAGAGAATCCATGAAGGCAGCTAGGCTCCTGGGGAGTGGGCGGGTGGGGCTGAATGGGCTCCAACTCCATTGACACAACTAGAGTAGAGAAGATAGCAGGTCAGAGAAGCCAGTGGGGTTGTTACCTCCCTTTGGAGAGACAAGGAGAAACACAGGAGTGGCGGAAATGTGAAGGGAGGTGTACAGGGAACAATGGAAGAGGCCGGAGATCGACTCCGGATGCTTACATGCAGCTTGGGTTGGGAACATGCCAGGACAGGGCCTCCCACATATTCTAGGAAGACTGGGGCACCCACTTTCCAATCATTAGTAAGGAGGTTACTATCAAAAAATATAACACAAAAGAAAAGACCTAAGCTTGATGATTTTATTGGTGAAGTTTACGAAACATTTAAGGAATATGTACCTATTTTTCTCAATGTTGCCAAAAATTATATATATATATATATATCTGAATATATATGTATGTGTACATATACATGATATCTGCGTCCTTTTTTTTTTTTGGTCAGGTGGTGGGGCTTGAATTCTGGGCCTGAGTGTTGTCCCTGAGCTCTTCTTTGCTCAAGGCTAGTGGTCCACCACTTTGAGCCACAGGGCCACTTCTGGTTTTCTGATGACTAATTGGAGGTAAGAGTCTCATAGAACTTCCTGCTCAGGCTGGTTTTGAACCACGATCCTCAGATCTCAGCCTTCTGAGTAGCTAGGATTCCAGGTGTGAGCCACCAGCACCCAGCTCTTCCTCCTTTTCAAAGGACATTTGGGGTCCAGGATTCTTGATGAACAGTGGTTTGTTTTTCTTTTAGAACTTGGATTATTTCTGTTCGGTGGACACTTAACTTCTCTGCCTTTCTAGTTGCTAAAATCAGGTAAATATTTATTTCCTGAATGTTCTGGTGCCAAAGAAGTGAGAAAGTATAACTAAAGTAACAGATCCACATTGAGTATTAAGTAGGCATTTGATCAATCCCTGGGAGTATAAATCACATCTTCCAATAAGGACACTAAAGCCAAGGCCTTGTTATGACCTGTCCCATTTCATACAGCGAGTGTGTAGGAAGGAAGTGAGGCCCAGGTGGGTTTTCTGACTGCCTCCTGCAGACTCATCTCTTGATGATTCAGGAATCACATTACCTAACTAGCATTCTTGATTTTAGCAGGACCTGGTCCTACCGCAATGCAATTCACCCTGTGTACCTGTCTCCTCTGGCTCTCAACCAGTGGCCTCTGGACCATCCAGGCTCAGGACCCCAGTGCCACTGTGAGCACCAACGGCCCTCACCGGGACCTAGCTCCAACCAATGTTGACTTTGCCTTCAACCTGTATCAGCGCCTCGTGGCCTCCACTCCTGATAAAAATGTCTTCATCTCTCCTGTGAGCATCTCCATGACGCTGGCTATGCTGTCTCTGGGGGCATCTGGCCACACACAGACCCAGCTCCTCCAGGGTCTGGGCTTCAACCTCACCCAGACATCAAAAACTGAGATCCATCAGGGTTTCCAGCACCTCCATCGCCTCCTCGGAGAGTCAGACACTGGGTTGGACATGACCATGGGTAACGCCTTATTCTTTGACCAGAGCCGCCTGGAACTACTGGAAAAGTTCTCAGCTGACATCAAACACTACTATGAGTCAGAGGCTTTGGCCACAGACTTCAAAGACTGGGACGGAGCCAGCAGAAAGATCAACAAGTATGTGGAGAATAAGACCAAGGGGAAAATTAAGAACATATTGTCAGACCTGGGTAGCCCTGCCTCCCTCATCCTGGTTGACTACGTCTTCTTCAAAGGTAACTCTCCCCTCCAGACCCCTACCCCAGGCTGACAAGGCCTCGCCCACCATTGCCAAAACTAGCACAGCTGTCCCAATCCAAGACGTGCTTTGGGGCACACTCAGCCATGGGAAGCTCCGTCTTCATCACAGCACATCTGGGAAAGTGTGATTATAACATTTGGCCAAATTCAGACGGACACTCCTTAGAGTTGAGCGAATGGCTTGAGTTCTAAAGGCTGCTCTGAGGCTCACTGTGGTTACTATGAACAGCCTGGCTGTCTCCCGGCCTACAGATATCACCCAAGCAACACAAGCTCTGACCCAGAGACTACCAATCCAGCCTCCTCTGGGTCAGAGTGCCCTGCCCTGGCATCTTTCTGACACCCCCAAAGCATTTTTACACACCCCTAACTCAGCGTTTCCAGGCAGCTCTGGCCAGGGCCTTCCCTGACCACCTTCAGCTGACATCAGTTGGTACTGGGTGTTCCAAAGTGCTGTTCATAAACATGGCAAGGAAAACGCATCCAAGTCCCACAGTCCAGAGCCCCTGGCAGACCTACGAGGAAAACCGCCTTGGGAACTCCACAGCCATTTGTAATTATCTTATGCATCCTCCTTCACCATCACCGATAATGATTCTGATTAGGCAATTTGGAGATACCTTATTCCTGAGACTAAAACTCAACTCCCTCCTCTACCCCAGTGAGTCTCACTGAGGGGGATTATTACCACCACCACCCCAGTTGTACACACACTCACTTCCCAGAGACACGAGATGATGTCTGGGGCATTTTGGATAGTCACAGCTGAGGAGGGGGATAGTATGCTGTTGGTGTTCACTGAGTAGGGACCAGGCAGGCTGGTAAATATCCTACTCACAAGCACAGGACAGCCCCCCACAGTGACAATGACCCCCAAATGATCATTGTGCCAAGGACAGGAAACTAATCTGGAGCCCTCTTTTCTCTTCTCTACTCTCCTGTCTCAGCATTGTTCCCTTTCTCAAAGCTCCCAACAGATACCACACACACACACACACACACACGTATATACACACATACATGCATGTACACACATGTGTGCATGTGACACATGCACATCTGCACATGCATGCACACGCACACACAGGTATACACACATACACACATACTGCAAACACATGAAATGCCCCTCCCCCCTGGGCCTCCACGGAGACCTGCAGAGCCTCCTAATCTCACTGGAACACCTTCCCGCAGACTGGACAGCTGCACACATTTATTAGCTGGCATTTCTGGAGGACAAAAGTCCCCCGTGGGTCACAGTGTCTGGAACAAGCTCAGAAGAGGCCCCTGCAGGAAGCACTGCCATTCCACAAGCTTTGGCTCAGCCTGAAAGCAATGTCCTTCCAGTCAGAACTGAGCAGGGCTGCAGAGTCCTGAGAGCAATGTCCTTCCAGTCAGAACTGAGCAGAGCTGCAGAGTCCTGAGAGCAATGTCCTTCCAGTCAGAACTGAGCAGGGCTGCAGAGTCCTGAGACACACGTGCGCACACGCGCGTGCACACACACACACACAGCTGAATGGCAGCCATGAGTATGTAGCCTCCAGAGTGAGGGCTGGGGAGTCTGTCACCCTGGCGAACCTCCTCTCCTGTCTCTGCGTTCAGCCGGTGGGGACCAGAATGCCCTCATTCCACGTACTAGGGGTCCACAGGCTCCTCCAGGGACTGGGAAGGGGTGTGAGGAGGAGATGGAAGAGATAAACCAGTCCCCCACAAGAGTCCCTTCTGGTCCTGACCAAGGACCTGGAGTTGCAGGTTTGACATCAGCCACGTCTTCCAGGGAGCCAATGCCCACCAGTGGGAGCCATACCCCTAGCATCAGGCCTAGCACTCTGTCTCTCCCCTCTTGTGTGTCTGAAGCCAAGCTCAGAAGCAAAGCTCATCCTCAACCCTCCACAAAGCTGAGGATGGAATATGCTTTAAGCCTGTAGGATTGTGACCTCTTTTTGGACATTTCTGGGGATCCAATTGGGTGTGCAAGAGACTCCCAGGTAGCTCATCCCAAACTGTGCTCTTTCACCGGTCCTATAGAGCTGACTCCTGCTCCCTCTTTCCCACGTCTTCCCAGGCATATGGTCATATGCTTTTGACCCAGAAAATATCAGAGATATGGACTTCCATGTGAGCGACACGGTCACAGTGAGGGTCCCTATGATGTTCCAGACAAGCACCATCAATTACCTCCACGACACGGAGCTCCCCTGTCGGCTGGTACAGCTGGACTACGTGGGCAATGGGACTGTCTTCTTGGTCCTTCCAGAGCCGGGACACATAGACACAGTCATCGCTGGGCTAAGCCGGGACACGGTTGAGAGATGGGCCAAGTCCATGACCTATCAGTAAGCCCTCAGGTGCTCTCGGGAAGCTGGGCAGGCAAAAACCAGATGCAGCTGGCCTTCTGTCAGCACTCACTGTCTTCCTGTCCACCACACCCCTATGTAAGATCCCCCCCAGCCTCCCACAGAGTTACAACGGTCAATCAACACAGAGGTCTCTGGGGGATTCCACAAGGCAAGGAGTAGGTGAAAGAGGCACAGAAGAAGGTATCTGTGCTGATAGACGAGTGGTCACCAGTGAGCTCCTTCCTCTTAACTCTAGCCCAAGTAAGGGCTAGTTCAGGGTTCACACACAGGGAAAGTTGGCTGAAGATGTATTAGTGATGGAGAAAGCAAAGAGGGAGAGGTACAGGGGGAAGGGAGAGGGGAGAAAAGGAGAGGGAAAGGGAGAGGGAAAAGAAGAGCCTCTCCCATAATGACCCACTTCTTCCAACCAAGCCCACTCCTAACAGCCAGTCAGCTGTGAACTCCAGAATGGATTGATCATTGACCCCATCCGCACCACCAGCCTGCGGCTGAGCCTTCCACACCTGAGCCCTCTGAGGGAGAACTTCACGTCCTAACAGTAACACTTTCCTACAGTCACGTATCTCTCTTGTCTTTGACTCTTCCTCAACTCCTTTGTGGATAGTGTAGCTCAAAGCGGGCACCGCTCGGTGGCCTGGCTCCAGGCTAGGGCCGAGGGCTGCTTTCGCTAGCGACCAGCTTAGGATTGTGAGCAATCCCAAGCACTAGAGAACTCAGGTGTTTTTCTAATATCTTTAATGTCAGGGTTTCATACATCTGTCAGCCATGCATTCCCTCCTCATCCACCCCATCCCGGTGTGAACTCACTTACCTTTCGTCATGCTAGATGACATCAAGTTCCTGTTGCACAAATCCTAGGGACCCAGCCCCTCTCGGCCCCCAAAGGACACAAATAAGCTCAGCCCTGTGTGCCAGGGCAGGGGCAGGAGGGGAAAGAACCTCAGCACAGGGGCACAGCGGTGGACCAAGATGGCTGCTCCCAGCTGGGTGCTCCTCTACCCCTTTGCTTCTAGCAGAGGGGTCTTCAGGACCCCTTCGTTACCAGCCATTGCCTTCAGTGCTCAGTGCTCCAGCTGCATTACAGGTGGAGAAACTCAAGAGAATCACCTGAACCAAAAGAATGGATACTTCAAGGCCGTCATGTTGGAGGAGGAAGCAGCTCCTGCCTCCTACCCTGTCCCTCCCGTCCCCAGTGAGCAGGTGGGGCTGCATAGGCCAAAGCTGGAGGAAGTATACAAAGAAGCGGGCATCTTGCTGGGAGGCCTTTGCTCTTCAATGTCAGGTCTAGCCTTGGATTGCCTGACCTCGTCTCCCTGCCCCTCTCTTCCCCAACAGTCTCGTGAATGTGTACATCCCAAAGATGTCTATCTCCGGCACCTACGACATGGGTGGAGTGCTGGCGGAAATGGGCATCCCAGATCTGTTCACTAACCAGACGAATTTCTCTGGGATCACTCAGGTGGCTCCACTGGAAAGATCAAAGGTAACTCTCTTGGGAACCCATCTTTTGTTGCCTTTTCTCTAAACTCCACAGTACGCATCATAAAGCCCCTGGGGAACAGATCCAGGTCCCTGGCTGAGAACCCAAGCCCAGTCCAAGCCCCACCACCACAGTGGAGCAAACAGAGGTTCAACAAGGAAATCATGTCACCCACGAAGCTGGGCACCAGGGAAGGAAGGCCACAGCTGGGGAGAGGGGACGCTGGAAACCAAGGGTGCAGAGGCAGAACTGTGAGCCATCCCTTGCCTTGTGTTTCCCTTAGTCACTCACTTGTTAGCTGGGCACCATGGCTCATGCCTGTAATCCTAGCTTCCCAGAAGGCTGAGATTCAGAGGATAACAAATCAAAGCCAGGCTAGACAAAAAATGTCTGTGAGGCTCCAACTTTAACTAGCTAAACGGCTGGAGGCACAGTTCAAGTAGCAGAGCACCAGCTGTAGAGAGGGCCAGGCCTTGAGTTCAAGCCCTGGAACATGCACTTAAAAAAAAAAAGTAAGAAAAGAGCACATAGTAGGTGCCAACCTGCATAAGCCACTCCGATGTGGCATTGCCTTTTTTTGCCTAGGTTGGGGGCTGCCATGCATCTTATCAAAGCCATAACTGTCTTTTCTCTTGTTTTACTTGTTTTTCTTTTAAAAGCAAGAAAGGAATATATTTGAATTGTAGGGAAACCAAGGCCAGCTGCCTTGTCAGATGGTGGGTTTGTCCCACTTTCTAAAATGAATCTTTAACTCCATGAAGAGCTTTCCCATGCTCACCGTGCAAGCAAGTAACAGTGCAGCACTTCCATTTAACCTTGGGTCCTGTGGACTTAACACGTCATTTTTTCAACATCCACAGCTGGGAGTTCCAAACCCAGCTCAGCCTGGGAGCTGATAAGAGCCTCAGAGTCTTTGCTAAAATCCAGACTAGGGGAGCTTTCTTGCCACATGAGCATTATAAGCTACAGTATCGCCTGCTGTTTTGTTCCACTTGGTCTGCCCAAGGCTTCAGTACAACCCAGTGAAGGTTTTGTGTAGATTTCAAGATTCCTTCTACCTTCAGTCAAGGAGGAATGTCCAACAACCAAAGATTTGCATCTCACCTTCTGCCTTGGCTTATCCATTTAGGCCCAAGCATGAGGTTCTTTTGTTTTTGCCAGTACCAGGATTTGAACTCAGGGCCTTGCGCTTACTCAGCTTGCATGCTCAGCTGGTGTTCTACCATTTACAACAAACTTCTTTCATTTTTCCTGATTATTTTGAAGATAGATTCTCTTCTTTTCTGTGTAAGCTACAAACTTCCATCTTGCAGATCTCAGCCCCCTGAGTAGCCAGGATTACAGGCACTGGCACACATCCCTCCCCCACCCCAATCCCATTCCGCCCCCCACCCCCGACACAAGTCCTTGTAGAAAGCTCTATCCCTGTATTTCCCCAGGATGGTGGACAGAGCCGGAGGCCTCTCCCAGACTGGGATGTGGGAATCAGTTTCCAGGAAGGATGGTGATGCCCATTGCACAGATCTCTGTGTGGTGAAGGCAGACTGACCCTGCCAACTCTGGGCGGCCTCAGTGCAGCCCTGGGTCTGGCCCTCACCTTGGGGCTGCCTCCCTCATGGACAGCCTGCCAGAGACCTTCAGTGTCCATGAGACACGGTGCAAACTGTCCCTGATACGTGGCCCAGACTCACCTCCTGCCCCCGGTATGTTCTAACAGGTGATCCACAAGGCTGTGCTGCACCTCAAGGAGAAAGGACTGAAGCTTCCTGTCCCCAAGAAGGTCACTAAAAACCTGGCCACTAAGTCTCCCACCTTCATCCTCAACCATCCCTTCCTCATCCTGGTCTTCGATGATTTCACGTGGAGCAGCCTGCTCCTGGGCAAAATTATGAACCCCATCTGACAACCTCCCCCCCCACACCAGCTGTCTGACTTTGGGAGAGTGGGAGCCTGTCCCCCATCTCCTCCAGTGTCTCCCCCATCTAACCAGAGTCATCCTACCTTATGTATCTTGTAATAAATAGCAGTTCAAATCACAACACCCGTGCACGCCACAGATCTGGTGTCTTAGACTATCTGAGCTGTCATAACCAAGTACTGAGTTTTGCACAGTTTGGGGGGCTGGAAATGTGAGATCGAGGTGCTCACATGATTGGGGGCTCTGTGGTTCCGTTGCTGGTTCAGAGATGGCACCTGCTCACTGTGTCCTCCGATGGCAGGAAGAGCAGAGAGACCCATCCGGGGTCTCGTTTATCAGGACACCAGCCACCTATCTCATGTGTGAGACCACCTCCAGAGGCTCCGCCTCATGATGCCATCACATAGTCATTAGGCTTCAAAGGAAATACAAGAGACTGGCCAGGAGTACAGGTGAGCACTAGCTCCGGGCTTGTAAGATTCTTATCTACAAATAACCACCAAAAAAAAAAAAAACCCCAGAAGTGGAGCTGTGACTCAAGTGATAGAACGCTAGCCTTGAGCACAAATGCTCAGGAGCAGTACTTGCGCCCAGTTACCCCCCCCCAAAAAAAGAAAAGAAAAACCTAAAACACAAAATTGCTCCTATTCTACTTCCTGTTATTTATTATTTCAGTTTTTATATTAAGTCTTTGAGCCATCTGGAACTCAGATTTAATGATAAGAATGATTTCAACTCTGTCCTTCAATTGCTTATAAGACAAATGTCCTCAAACATTTTAAATAAATCTTTTAACCCAATCTGTTTTCCCATTAATTTTGTGTGTATGTAAATGCTGGGGTTGGTGCTTGAAATAGAGACCTGGTCACTGTCCTGGATTTTCCTGCTTTAGCCTGACTTTCATATGAGTGATTTTGAAACTATCTCATAATGAGAAAGAGTTATCGAAGCATGCTTAAGAATCTAGAACCATTAAACTACATAAAGCAATTGCATTGAATTAAAAAAATTACTGACAGAATAGACCAAAAGCACTAATTTCTCCTTAAGTCCATTATTATTTTTAAAGACTCAGATGAACTTTTTCTGCTTGGCCCCTGGGTACTAGTAGCGGATCCAATATGAATTTCATGAGCATCTTCCTGATGTACTATAAAATCAACAGTAGTAGGGATAAATCCCCAGGCACTCTAAGGCTTCACCATGCCATTATCCCCTAGAGTTGATGCATCTTTCAAAAAGAAAGGAAAACGGCAAAAACAATTCTCAAAAAATGAAGACTCAAGATAAAAGCTGAGAAAAAAGTATCACCTTCATTAAATAAATAAATACAGAGAATTTCAAAGATATCTCCAAAATATAAAAAAAAACTGATCAAACTAAAAATAACAACACATTTTGCCATCAGTTTACAGCAACTCAGCTCCAAATCCTACCCTCTTCGTTGTGACTGCAAAAGTGGGGGCGGGGGTTGGGGGTGGCTTGTCAACTGTTTTGGCTTCACCGTTTGGCAGTGATATGAGGCTTTGTCAGTAGAGGGCGCGAGAAAGGCATTGCAGGAGGAAGAGGTTTCACCTTCCTGTTCAGGCCAAATAAGACACATACACAAAAATAACTAGATCATAAGTCATAATATACATGATGTAGAGATGGATGGATGGAAGATTAGATAGATAGATAGATAGATAGATAGATAGATAGATAGATAGATAGATAGATAGATAGAGAGAGAGAGAGAGAGAGAGAGAGATAGATAGATAGATAGATAGATAGATAGATAGATAGATAGATAGATAGATAGATAGAGTGCATAGGAAAAAAAATTGAAGAATACCTTTCTAATAGGTACATTTATACCTTCCTAATACACACACACACACACACACACACACACACACACACACACACACCTGAGTCCCAAAGTCAGTATCTCACTTAAATAAGAAAACACTAAACAAATATATTTCTACTAAGTATTGTATTACGGTTATTTATTAGACAACATATTTACACAAAAGAAAGGAGGAACATCAGAATTGAGGAAAAAGTTATTTTTAGATGACATGATAATATACCTACATATACCTACCAACATGCAAATTAATGACAACATAAACTCAATTCATTAGAATATCAGGATACAGACTTAATGTTAGAAAAAATAACCTTCATATGCATAAATAACAACGAGCTAAAATACAGTGGAGCTGGCTATGGGTGGTTCACACCTGTAATGGTAGCTACTGAGATCTGAGGCTCATAGTTTGAAGCCAGCCTGGGAAGATATAATAAAAAGACTCTTATCCCCAACTCACCAATAAAAAGCTGGAAGTGGAGCTGTGGTTTAAGTGGTAGAGGACCAGCCTTGAGTGTAAAAAACAAAAAACAAAGCTAAGCAAGAGTGAAAGGGTCCTGAGTTCAAGCTCCTTCTACACCAAGAGCGTGTGTAAGCGCGCATGCGCACACACACACACACACACACACACACACACACACACACACACACACACAGAAAGGAAAAAACATAGAATAAATATATATGTTTTCCCTAATAGAAAGAAATACAGGAAGAAGAAACCAGGGGAAAAAATTAAGTGATGTTGAGAACAGGAACAAAAAATGAACTTAATCAACAGGAAAAAATCTTCAGAGCAGCTTCTGATGCCTGCCTGTCAAAAGCAACTCAGGGTGGAGTCATGTTTCCATCCTAAGAGGAAAAGGAAAGCTTTCATGTTGCCTTTTCCTTGTGAAAGTTCCCTGCCGTGTAGACATGATCGCTGATAGTCAAGTGTCAAGTCCAGAGCCTGGAACAACTGGCGCATGAAATACCTCTGCTCTTTTTGGAAAAATGCTGTAGTTTTTCTTGCTTCCACTCGGGGATCTTTTTAACCACCAAAGACAAGGAGAGATGTTTAGGGATTTCACATCACTATTATAGGCATCTGGGTTGGATGGGTATGGTTTTCTGGAATCCTGTTTTAACTGTTAGATGGGGAGCCTGTTAGGGAAGCTCACTCAACCCCAAGGGGGCCTCCATGCAATGAATCTCCAGAGCCAGCTCTGCAGCACCACCTTGGGGCTCCCTTGTGCTTGTGCTGTCACAGCTGTCGGGTACTGGAGGGTGGAGATCCAGGGAGTATTTAACCACAGGAGACCTGCTGAAGGCAGCCACGTGTTGGAACAACACAGAAGGCTGCCCAGACTCATGAGACAGATTCTGCGAGAGAGCTGTAGTGGAGTTGGAGCTGCTGCATGAGCAGGTAGAGCTGGGCTGTGGGGATGTGGGTTCTCACTGCTCAGGGCTACCCATGACTTTGGGGAAGGGTGTATCTATGTCATATTGCTCCCCCTTTTCTTTCCAGCCAGACCCCCACTTCCAACCTAGAAGTGATTTCTCACAATTACAGGCTCACACCTGTAATCCTGGCTGCTTAGGAGACTAAGATCTGAGGATCATGGTTCAAAGGCAGCCTTGGCATAGAAGTTCTTGAGACTCTCCTCTCCAATTAAGCACCAAAAGGCCAGACATGGAGCTGTGGTTTAAGTGGAAGAGCACCAGCTTTGAGTGAAAAAGCTAAGGGACAGTTTCCAGGCCCTGCATTGAACCCCAGTATTTTTTTTCTTAAAGAGAACTGTTTTCCATCTATGTCAGGGAGCTTTGCAAACAAATAATAGAACCAGAGTCAGCTCTGATTTTGCCTCTCCTTCTACACCAAAACTTTTGATAGCTCCCATATCCACCGGCCCCCTGATCATAAAACCCTATAGGAAAACCATCTTTTTCTTCCTCTCTCTGTGTCCCTGTATCCAGTGTCCTGCCTTCCTCCTTGCTCCCCAGAAATGTCGTTCTGAGCAGCTTGCCTCCTTCCCAGGTAAGAGAACCAAATTTGCAGTTGAAAATCTGCTATTATACTAGAGCTTAGGAGACACAGCACTTGGTTCAAGGCCAGACTGGGCATAGATCCCATCTCAATTAATACGTGAGGTGTAATGGAAGATGTTGTAATGGCAGATGTGTTATTCTAGCTGCAAAAGCAGCATTAAGTAGAAGGATTGAGGTCCATGGCCAATTCCAAGCAAAAACACAATACCCTATCTGAAAATATTTTTTAAAGCTAGAAATTTGGCTCAAGTAGAGATCATCTGAATAGAAAACAAAATATGCCACATGTTATGTCAGGCAGGTGTTTCTTACCTGGGATCCCAGCATTCCGTTGGCTGAGGTAAGAGGACTGCTGAGCTTGAAGTTGCATTTCGTTTTCTTTGTTTTGTTTTTTATTGTAAAAATAGTGTACAGAGGGCTTACAGTTACATGAGCAAACTAGTGAGTACATTTCCTATCGAGCATTGTTACCCTCTCCTTTGTTTTTCCCCTACCATCCCTTCCCTCCCCACCTCCCCAACTCCCTCCCCCCAAGTTGTAAAGTTCGTTTTCTACATAGTGTCTCGTACATCTCCTTGTTACCATGGGTCATCCTGTATCCTTGTTTCAGCATTTTGTTATTTCCCTTCCCCTCCCCAAATTAGAAAAATGTATATACAAGATGCAGGACATCGACATCAAACACAGTGAAAACAGGGGTTATAACGTGGGGGAAGAACATACAAGAGAAACAAAAAAATCACATAGTACATTTTAGAGACACTGAAAACAACAGCAAGAAAGAAAAAACAAGTTGTGTCCTTATCTTGGGGTTCATTTCACTTAAGTGAAAGCCTTTGACTTTTTCTTCTTGTCTTCGACTTATACTAGTTATTGCAAATAAGAGAAACCATGGGATCTATGTTTCTTACTTCACTTAATATAATTTTTTCCAAGTCTTTCCATTTCCTAACAAATGGGGCAATGTCATTCTTTCTGGTGGAGGCATTTCGTTTTCTTGAGGTTGAAGTTGAGTTTGATTGAAGTTTGAAGCTGATTGCTGAGTTTGATTGTTGAGATTGAAGACTGTCTCAAAACACTAAAACCAAATGAAATTAAAACATACATAATGCAAAACAACCCCCAAACCCATCAATATCTCCATTAAAGGGCCAGACTTCCTAGATTTAACTACACCTGACCCTTGCCTTCTTCTCCCCGTAGCCATCCCTCCTGCCTGTCCATTGTGCAATATGTGAGCAACTGCACATGGGCAGAATAGCCGGGGGAACTCACCCAGCCAGACCTCTGGCAAAAGGAATCACCATTTCTCTTGAGACTTGCAGAAGTAAGAAACATCTTGTGACCATATCACTAAAACCAGATGTGCCCCAGAAGGACCGCCACCTGCATGCAAGTGCCATCCCCAGTGCACCACCCATCCCCCACACAAGCTACCCCTCAGGCAGCCTCTGACAGAGTGTCCTTGATAGTGACAGTCTGCCATCTTCCAATCAACTAGCATGTCTTAGTCAAGTTCTCCTATCACCAGATGACCTCTACCCTGACTGGCTTCCATTGTACAGCGAGCAGATCAAACCTTTGCATGATGACCACATCATCAAACAGGGCACCTAGCTATGTCGTGTCCAAAGATGCATTGCTTTTTCTCTGTTTTCTTCTAGTATGGCATTGTTCTTTGTAAAGTTTGTGGTAGGTAATATTACATTTACCTTCCAAGGTAATAAGGGACACAGGACAAGAGTTTTATAAGAAATGGAGTCTGAATGCTGTGGATCACACCTGTAGTCCTAGATACTCAGGAGACTGAGATCTGAAGTTGGAAAACAGCCAGGGCAGGGAAGTCTGTGAGTCTCTTATCACAATCACCAAAAAGCCAGGGATAGAGCTGTGGCTCAAGTGGGAGAGTGCCAGCCTTAAGTGAAAATGCTAAGGGACAGTGCCTAGGTCCTGAGTTCACACACACACACACACACACACACACACACACACACACACACACACACGATTGGTCTGAAAAACTGTGTTAAAGGATCTCACCACTTAGACACAGTCCTTGAGCAGTGAGTCCGCATGCTGGGAAGCCACGCTCTGGTCTGCAAAGCTTTGCTTTGTCACCTGAGATCTGCTGCCTGTCCCCCCATTGGATAGACAGTTGCGTGAGATGGGAAATGAGGTCTTAAGCACCCCAGGAGCCCCACCCAGTGCCCAGTGCTGATTGGTGGCTCAGAAGCCGCTGCGGGGGAAGCATTTTCTTCTCCCTTGCCACTTGTCCTAAGCCGAGAGCCACGTGGGGCAGCTCACCTAAGGAAGCGCCTCCGGCAGAGCCGGTCCTGCTGGGGGGGAGCTGGGGGAGCCTGGAAGCCTCCTTCTTCATTTTCCATCTTCTTCCATCACTTCCCCGCAGAGTGTTAATCAGTAACCATGTGAAGGGAATCACACTTTGGAATAGCAAATATTTGCTGGAGGCTTTGGGCTTCAGAACTCACACTTTCGTCTCTGGTCTGAATGATCTTCCAGCCCCGGAGGCACTGTGCGGGTAAGAGGTGGTGTGTGGCAGGACCCTTTCCTGTCTGGCTGGGAGGGAGGGAGACACCTCCGGGTGGACTTCCAGGTGGGGGGGGGGAGGATTTGCCAGACAGTCTAGTCTCAACCCTAAATCCAAGCTGAGGCTGGGGGCGGGGTGGGCAGCACCCCGTAATAAACGAGAGACACCAGACTTGGCATACACTCTACCTCTGCTTTCAGCCCAGAGGCCAGAGGTACACAAGCTGGGGTAGCCACACAGGGCAGCATGGGAGACACCTTAGTCCAAGGAATGCCGGGTGTGTGTTTACTGGCTCATGAGCAGAGGCCTAGATGACAGGGGGTGGGGATCATTCAGTAGGCAAGTGCAGAGACTACAGGGTGTGATGGCAGTCCCACTCCATACACTGAAGATGGCACTCACAGGAATGGTGGCGTCAGAATTAAGCACCTGGGAAGGGGAAGGTTCAACCAGTGTGCTGATGTGACTTCTGTGGCATCGAGAGAGGCAGGTAGCTCTGAATTCACGAGTGTGCCACTATTGGCCTAATTTACAAAGGAGAACTGAACATGGTCACGCAATTGTCCTTGGGCTGCTGTGACAAACACATGAGTCTGGAGGTCTCAGGCATTCACAGCAGCCTTTCACCATTCTGGAGGTCCCAGGTCAGGTGCCAGCATGGTTGGGGCATGGTGAGGATCCATTTTCTGGTTTGGAGGGGACAGAGGAGGGCTCTGGTCTCTTCCTTTTAGTATAAGTTCACACCCTCATGTCTCCTCTAAACATGAAAACTGCCTCAAGGCCCTACTTCTAATACCACTACACTGGAGGTCCGACTTCCACTTAGAATTCTAGGACATAGCTAGATATTCCCTTCATGTCATTAATGAGGACTTCTACTTAAGCAAACAAGCCAGGTCCTGAGTTCAAGCCCCAAAATGGCCCAAAATGATGATGATGATGATGGTGATGATGATGATGATGATGATGATGATGATGATGATGGAGGAAAAGGAGTTAGGGATCGTAAGCTGCCCGAGCGCTGAGCAGGGGAGGGGAACGGGATTCGTCCTGTTGGCTCTGGAGGGTTTCTGCCCAGATTCAGCTGGGCAGGGCTCACCTGCCCAGCCTGATGCAAACTCTTGGGGTCCCCTCAGAAAGGAGGTTGGTCCCTAAGGCAATGTGTACATGGCGTGAGGGTGACCTTAAGACAGCTCTGCTGTCTCTTCTGCCCAGGAAGACTCACCACCAAAGCGAAGCAGTCCTTGGTCTCCGTAGCTGGCCACATGCAGGGGATTTCCAGCCTTCTGCTCCCCATCCTCCTGGCAGAAGTGTGGCCAGCGCCCAGCTTGGCCCTCAGCCCCCATCTGCCAGAGGACCCGGCAGGTCTGGAGGCTGTGGAGTTCCAGGCTTCTCGGAACCAGACCTGGGGGGCGTGGCAGGCTCCCCTCGGTGACCACGAAGCTGGCGAGGAGGCCTGGCTGAGGGCCGGCCTGCAGCAACTCTCCAAAGCAACCACAGACTTCGGGTTGGGCCTGCTGCGCAAGCTGTCCCTGAGGCACGACGGCAATGTGATCTTCTCGCCATTCGGAGTGGCAGTGGCCCTGGCCAGCCTGATGCTGGGGGCCCAAGGGGAGACCCGAGCCCAGGTGGAGAGAGGGCTCTGCCTGCAGGCCCTCAGCCAGATGGAGCCCCTCACCCTGCCCACTCTCTTTAAGAGGCTCCGGGAGACCCTGTCCAGGAACAAGGAGCTGAGCCTCCACCAAGGCAGCCTGGCCTTCATTCACAAGGATTTCGAGGTCAGAGAGACCTTCCTCAATTTATCCAAGGCGTACTTCGATACCGAGTGTGTGCCTACAGATTTCCGAAATGCATCCCAGGCCAGGGGACTGATGAACCATCACGTCAACAAACAGACCCATGGGAAAGTTCCCGAGCTCTTTGACCAGATTAAGCCTGAAACAAAATTAATTCTGGTGGATTACATCTTATTCAAAGGTACTTCGATACTGTTCTGTTTCCCCAAAGCCATACAATTCTGTCACTATCTCTTCTTTTTTCCTTGCTCGGGCCAGCATACTCTGAGACCCCCAGCCCTCCTCTCCTTAGAATTGTGCTCCTTAGAATTGCCATACCAACCCCACCCAGTTCTCTTCTGATATTTGGGAGAAGCAGCAGAAGTGTAAGTTTATTTGTGTATATGGGGGGGGGGGCTGTACCGCATGTGGAACTTGAACTCAGGGTCTGGGCACTTTCCCCTAGTTGTTTTTTTGTTGTTGTTGTTGTTGTTTTGGGTTTTTTGCTCAAGGCTGGCGTTCTACCACTTGAGACACAACTCCACTTCTAGCTTTTTGGTCACTAATTAGAGATGAGTCTCATGGACTTTTCCACCCAGGATAGCTTTGAACCATGATCTCAGTTCTCAGCCTCCTGAGTAGCTAGGATTACAGGCGTGAGCCACCAGTGCCCGGCCCACATAGGCTTTTGCTTTAAAAAAAAATTTTTTTTATCTGAAAGATTGAGGATTGCAATTTTGCTTCTTCAGTCTCTGTGAACCTGGAGCAAGGGACAAAAATCTCCTTGGATTTTTAAGGAAGTATATGCACTTGCTCTTGCTATAATTATAAGGCCGTGTGATCTAATGAATGTGAAGTACTCAACTGCCCTTGGGATGTGCTAGATACCACATCTATCTGAACAATTGATTTTCTTGATCACAAGCACAGCAGGTAGAACACAGGCTGCTGTGAAGGACGGGGAGGGGGGGGGTACATGGTCAGGGTCACAACACAATGGTACAATCCAATGCTCCCCTCCAGGCCCCAGGGTTCCAGCTCTGCCGAACAGGAAACAAGCAGAGATCTAGCACCAGGAAAGCTTGGGGTGGGGATCCACTTTGCAGACATCCAGACAATGCTCTGTATGGGTCATCTGCCCACCCCTGGGTGGTCTTCCCTGTGTAGTAGTGGAGGTGGCGGTAGCAGTGGTGGTGGTGGTGGTGGTGGTGTGTGTGCAAGGGCTCATGTCAGAATGACAGCGAGGGTCTCTCACGTGGATGGGGCCATCTTCTCCAGGCCTAGGTCAACCACCAGGAAATGGGAGTGAGTGGTTCAGGTCCAGATGGTGGTGAATAAGCCATCAGGACACGTGTCCTGGCACCTTGGTGTGTGATCCCCATGAGGATTACAGGTAGACCTGCATTTTGTTATCTGGGGAAATCCCTTTGACCTGAGCCAGGGTCCAAGCCAATGTGCTTTTCCTGGCTGGGGCAGAGGGGAACAGAGCTCCCTGCCCTGTGGCTGGTGCGGGACTCGCGCTGTTCATGGAGGCTGTTTGCTACACGGCTCTCTACTGGCTTGTTCAGGGAAGTGGCTGGCCCCATTCGATCCTGCCTTCACCGAAAATGATGCTTTCCACCTGGACAAGTACACGTCAATTCAGGTGCCCATGATGTACCAGGCGGGCGAGTTTGCCTCCACTTTTGATAAGAATTTTCGCTGTCACGTGCTCAAGCTGCCCTACCGAGGTAACGCCTCCATGCTGGTCATCCTCATGGAGAAAACAGGGGACCATCTGGCGCTGGAGGACTACCTCAGCTCAGACCTGGTGGAGATGTGGCTCCAGAACATGAAAACCAGGTATGCATGAGTCTTGCCCACACTGACACCGACTCAGGCTGAGCTCTCCATCTGAGCCTCTCCACAGTCCCATCCTATGCCATCTCCCACCATCGCAGTGAGCGCCGAGCTCCCCAGGGCAGGGCCAGCACTGGTGCTACCTCCAGTCCATCCCCGCATCAGCCAGGGTGCCTGGCTGGTTCACTCACTGAGCAAGTACTTACTCCTTCAGCCCTATCTACACATGCTGGGAATGCAGCAGTGAGCGAGTCAGCAGAAGCCCCCACTGCCCTCTTTTAGCGAAGGCAGACAACCAGGACAAGGCCAGGAAGAGAGCATGGGGTGCTGGCAGAGGTTGGGGGGCTCACTAAGGAATGGTCAGGAGCATCTATCTGGGAGAGGGGTGCTGAAGGCAGAGGTGGGAAGGTTCTAGGACCAAGTGTGGGGTGGGTCTGAGGAGCAAAGTGGCCAGTGTGGACGCAGCTATTGGAGAGGAGGTCAGAGAGAAGGTCAGCTCCACCCCTGGGCCTTCCCCTCCCCAGCCAGGACTTGGGCTCTGCTGGAAGGTTCTGAGCAGAGGTGCGCCATGATGTGACCAGAGTCCCACAAGTTCCTGTGTTGAGAATAGACACTGGAGGAGGCAAATAACAGCAAGGAGGCCAGTTGGGTAGAGGTCAGGAGGCTGCTGGGAAGCAAGACCATGGCTTAGATATGGGGCGGTGGTAGAAGTGGAGTCTGGGTGTACAAAGGAGGTTGGCAGAATTTCTCACTGACTGGACACAGTGAGGTGAGGGGGGGGAGGGGGGGAGTGAGCAGTCCTCGTCCAAGGTGATTGTAAAATTTTGGCCTCAGCAATAGGAAGGATGGATTTGCCATTTGGGGGGAAGAACGTGGGAAAGAACAGGTCTGGGGGGTAAGTTTTGAAGAGTTTAGTCTTAAAATCTGCTTCAGAAATATCTGCTACACATCCAAGTAGACATGCCAAGAAGAGCCCAGCCGAGGTCCAGGCTGACGCTATGAATCTGGGAGTTAGGAGCATGAGAGTGGTGCCAGTTCCAGGTGCGAGGCAGTCAGGTAGGGGCTATCTGTGTGAGAGGCAGAAGCCCAGACAACACTCGGGTGTTGGTCTAAGAAAGGAGTCCACTTCTTGGAGTGTAAGGAAGGCTGTGCATTCTGAATCCTGCCAACTTGAACCTAGCCACAGGCTCACATTCAACTAAAGGCCCTGCTGTTGGTTTTATCTGTTATTTTTCTCCAAATGTTTAGCAACTAGCAAAGGCCCTCATACATAAGACCTCACAAATATTTGCTTAATGAATAAGTTCATCTTCAGGACATCATATCCCCACTTAATAGTCCATTCTGACTGCCTGGCCCAACCATGCAGTGAGACAGTAAGAGATTCCCATGACTGGGTGGGAGCCAATTCCTATTTGTGAAGGGTGGACTACATGCCAGGCTTTGTTCTATGAACTTAGCATGCGTGCATCGCTCTTCTGAACCACCCTATACAACTGTTCTTGCCATCTTTGGCCATATTTCACAGAATATGAAATTGGGACTTCTTAAAGATTCATCTTGTTATCAATTAGTTTCCATGTTTTATTTTTGAGACACAGAATTCATCCTTCCAAACATCGTATTTTGAGAGAATTCCAATATAGAAAATAGGTGACCTCAGAGCCTTGCTGGTTACAGATGAGAGAGGTACAAGTCCCATGGCTCCCCGTGCTTGTCCTTCCCCAGGACCCCAGGCTTCTCCTGGGGACTGAGCAGGCAAGCCCTGGGTCTGGGAAGGGTGTCCTCCAGGCTGTAGGGATGCAGGGAGCAGCTATTGAGTTAGTTTTTCAAACAAGGAGAAAATAAAGAGTGGCACTCTTAGCTCCAAAGTCTACAATTCATGGAATGAGACTGGAGCTGGGTCACACAGGCTGCTGTAATAATGCTTTATAAAGCCGCAAGTATTTCCTATGAGATGGAGGTAGGAAACTGTCCCCAGCCCACTAAAGGAGACCCCAGAATGGAAATAATCTCAGAGGAAGGAAGGAAAGAAAATGTGTCCTTTTTGGTGTTGAGAGACTGTGGCTTTGCCTACGTTTCACGTCCTCTGTCCTTGAACCCCAGGAAAATGGAGGTTTTCTTTCCCAAGTTCAAGCTGGACCAGAAGTATGAGATGCATGAGCTGCTTAAGCAGATGGGAGTCAGAAGAATCTTTTCGTCCTCAGCTGACCTCGGTGAACTCTCAGCGACAGCCAGAAATCTTCAAGTGTCCAAGGCAAGTCAGGGTCTGCACCAGGGCCCAATCCTAAGCATAAATGCCACCGAAACCAACAGATATTTTGCAAATCATTTAATTTTCATAAGATGTCTAGTTGTAGTAATTAAACCCCAACTATCTGAAATAGCACCCAAGTTGGGTGTTTTGAGAATTCCAAGCCATGTTTCTAAACCACTCTTCAGTGCAGTCTCTCCCTCTTCTCACCCGATGCCCAAAACATTTACCCCTGCAATGAACTGGCTTACCAATTCATCATCACCATGTAGGTTGAAAGGCTCAAGAAGAGCCCGGCAGACATGACCAGACCCATACTCATCCCTCCTAGATCTCCTTTTTCCAACACCTCTGCAGACTACTGCCCTGGCTTCAGAGAATCTGTCTCTGACTCCCACTAGCTTCTTTGTAATGCTGCCCAATCCACATGGCTGCCTTGAAAAAATATATTAAGTGGTATCTGCTACCCAACTCATGCCTTCTCTGTCCTACTTCGAGCTCTAAAACTACTACTAACAAGGTTAACTGATTTCCACACGTGTACCTTGTGCGATGGGACTCTTGAGCTGGGATGATGGCCTATGTTTTGAGTCTTTTGACTTTACTTCTAGTGATCAGGGTAAAGGCAGGCCCATGATTAATCTTGGGGGTAGCTCATGTCAAGTCAGTTCTGAGGGGACTTTCTATTGTCTCCGTAGTTTTGTGCATTGCTGGAAACTAGTTAGCATAACGGTACCAATTTAAGTAGGACTCATTAGAGTAGACTTGGCCTGCACCATCCAGGGAAGGTGAAGCAATCCAACCGGACAAGTCTGTAAACCTGCTGCACACAGCCTCTGCTGAGCCCCTGGGAACCAGAAGCGAGGTGCTGCTGGCTGAAAGAGGATCCCCCTGAGCTCCAGACTGAAGCCATTCACTTGTCTCCCTGATAGTTCTGGGAAATAAACCCTTACCCAGGAAATGAGAGAATTCCCAGGTTATCACATGCTGGTATTCTCATCTCTCAGACTCATCGCAAAGGTACATCATCCACATCACATCAGATTCCTGCACAGAAGTACCTTCCAAATAGACAACTGGCATCTGCGTAACAAGCAGACTCAGGAAGGAGAACCAGGGCGCTGGCACTCGGGCAAGCCTCAGGGCAGGCCTCAGGGCAGCATCAGGGTTTGCTGCCTTGAAAGACAAACCACTCACTGCCTGTCCCAGCCCAAATCCTGCCTGAAAGAAGAAAACTCAGAGGACTCAGACCAAGGCAGCACCACACACCTTCGAGGGGACCCAGAAAACTTATTTATTGCACAAAGCATATGCTCCATACATATTTATTAGAACTCTGCTAGCCAGAGTCCCAGCCCCAGCCTGATGCTCAGTGTACTCCACCTACCCCATTTCACTGGGTCTCTGCAGCCTCCTAGGACTGTTTTAGGTTTCTGAGGCAGTCCCTGGCACACTCTCAAGATGGGTCCTGCACCTAAAACCTAGGAACATGGCCAGGTAGGTGGGGCCACTGTGCAGAATTGTCAATTACCTCTTTTCACTCCACACAAATGACCTTCCCATCGTCTCCTTTCCTAGGTCTTACAGCAATCAGTGATTGAGGTGGATGAGAAAGGCACAGAGGCAGTGGCAGGAACGCTGTCAGAAATCATGGCATATTCCATGCCGCCCATCATCAAGGTGGACCGGCCATTTCACTTCATGATCTATGAGGAGAACTCCAGGATGCTCCTGTTTCTGGGCAGGGTGGTGAACCCGACTCTCCTTTAACTCAGATGTGCGCTCTTGAGCTCTCAGTGGGGGGGGGGGGTGCTGAACCCTGCAAGGCAGGTGTTGGCACTGGGTTGTGGAGGGAGAACTTGTGGCCATGTCCAGCTCATTTGGGCTATCTTCAGAGTAACACAAGCATTTTATTGATGTGTATTTGTAGATATTTGTGCAGTCTGTTCAGCAACTTTAGCTTGTTCCTAGGAGCCTTCATTAACTGAAGCCTAGCTGGGGAGAATCTCTGCCTTTCTCTGCTGTGCATATACCTGGACTACAAGAACTGCAGGTCAGAATATTTCAGGATAAAGCCTTTGGGGGAGATGTGAACATTCTCCCCAAGTCATGCTCCCCCACCTTGGTGCAACTAAGGGTTCACATTCAGTCTAGAATTACATCTTGTGTTTTACTTCAGTCTATTATGGAATTACATCTTGCTGATCAGGACTGGGAGAAAATTGCTATAATTAGTCCTGATTAAAGTCTCAGGCTCAATGATGCACATTCGCCATGGTGCATCCAGTCACTCAGTATAGGGGAGGAATATTTTAAATATGGATAAAGAAACCTATTGGAATTGTTACTGAAAGGGGGATGGGAGGCAGAAGGAAAGGGCATTTGGTAGGAAGGATGGGTTTGATCAAGGAACATTGTAAGCATATATGCAACCAACACTGGAATTTCGGTGCACAACTATTATATGCTAATAAAAATGGTTCCCTGTTGTGGTTAAACAGACCAAGCAGGATTTTGTCTAAGATGAAAGGGAAAGTTTAAGATGAAAGGGAAATAGTGTCATGCCCCTCCTGTCCCCCTTGCTAGGCATTCTTAGGAGCTAGTCATCTTCTGTCCCAGAAACAAGAGTATTTAGGAGATAATCCATAGATTCTTGGATAAAGGTACCTACGCAACTGTATTGGCTAAATGCCTAACTGCATTTTTGTCTGTTGCTATCTAAATGTATAAACAAACCTAACCTAAAGTTTTGGTGCAGGGTGATGGACCAGACATTCCTGTGACTCAGATATATATAAGCTCTCAGTGCAGGAGGTGCTGGACACTGCAAGGCAGGTGTTGGCACTGGGCTGGAGAGGAAGAGTTCGCCCTGTGTCCAGCTAACACTGTGTCCAGATTAACACAACATTAAATGAGTGTATTAAATTTCTGCTGTAAGTGGAGATCTATGGGTCACCAATTTATTTTTCATTTCCTATTTATCTGTCCTTATGAGTATAATTTTAACAACTACTTTAAACATTTTACAAGTTACCATGTTTGTGAAAAAAATCTGAAAGTAATTTTGATTAACTGTGGTCACTGAAAATTTAATACTTAAGCAATTGGCTGTCCTATACTGTTGAACTTTGTAATTCATAGTGATTATTCTCTATCAAATCACTCTACCCTTTCCCACATGCATAGTAAGAATATAAAGCTTGTAACTGTGCAAAATGTATTATTTAACAATCAAACTGAGAGTGCTTTATTTAACAGTAACAGTCAATGCTGATTGCAAATCAAAGGACTGGAGAGAAATGCAGCTTTGGTGTCCTACTGTGCACCACAGAATTCCTGACCACAACTACATTAAATTCCACATTACTGATTCTAGTAGAAAACAGAGCTTAAATAGTTAAAATCCAGACACATGTGGAATTCCTCTAAGCACAATGGTTAAGTTTCTCCCAACTACTGAATCTGTAACAACTTACCTGGCTGTCCTCTAATGAGGATACTGTGAATGACGGAGGGTTCCAAAGAGGCCGAGGGGAAGAAAATGGCATAGAAAACTCTCACTAAGTAACTATTCTCTGAATAATTGTTAGCTGACATAAAAGGAGTAGCCTAACTCTCTAACTCTAGAATAAAATGCAGGGAGGTCTTTTAAATGTTTTTCACAAACCCAGGTATCTCATGAACCTATGTTTATTTTGTGTAAATTCATTATCCATTTCACATTATAAAAAGTGACCACACACGCATATGCATTCACAAGTCAGATCATCTTTATCGTACATCAATATATTTTAAAAAACAAATATTTCCTAATATTAATATAGTTATATGCTGATTGCATTTTGAAATAGAGAAGCTGACAATAGCTTCATACAGTATATCTCAAGAACTGACATTTTAAATTAACAACTGTATTTGTTCCACAGGCAAATTTTGATGGAAAAGGTAGCATCAGTACAAATGCTGTCAACATAGCTTAAGCATGATAGCTTGCAATAACAGCTGATTCCGACTAGATTTATCACTTTTATTTTAGTAAGGACAAATACAACCTAAAGCGTAGATGGAGTATTTATAAAAGAAATTGTTGCGGGAAACAAAGAAAATCATCAATCTATTATTTTTAGGTATTTGTAGCTCAAACTTCTTGGAACTCTTTGCAAGATTTTTACTGCCAAATCTAAATGTGGGATGTCCGCATGTCACACCCGGCCACTGCAATCACATGAGTGAGAAGACTGCAGAATCTGCTCAGTGTGACTGTCCCACTGGGCTCCAAGAGCCGTGAGAAAGGCAGAATCTTCCTTACCTCCCCTCACACCCAGTGAGGGCAATTTCAGCTGATTTGGACTCTCATGCCATCTCTAACTGCTAAACCCTAGAACAACAAAACAGCTCATTTCCTGCACAAAGGCAAGTTTGTGTCCACACACATACCCCAAGCTGTTTTCTGTTACACTGCACCGTAACACTGGAATTCTGTTACCACATTATTGGTTAAGAAACATAATTCATACCTGCTAGGGAATCTAATTCCAAATTTGGTAAGTTTAATATCGGCTGCCATTATGTCTCTTTTCTCATTCTTTTTTTAAAAAAGAAAAAAATTAGGAAAGTCCATCCATTGCTTTGGCTTTGTCCATCAATCCTATCACCTCCAGTGGTCCCTTTGCCTCCTCCATCAAGAAGCTGAGTTAAGATTTCCTGGACTTTCTGAAGGAGAGAAAGAAAATAAGAGGGAAAAAGGGAAGAATAGAAGTAAGTAGGGAAGGGAAAAAGGGACAGAGATAGGCAGGAAGAAAGGAAGGAGGAAGGGAAAAGAAGACATGAAAAAATTTATCAATATAATGTTTAAAGTAAATAAATATATAAACAAGCTACTTTGAATAAACTTCATATATGAGAATCCTGGTTAAGAGAAAAAAATTATGTTAAAGATACTCAGAGTTATTTTTAAATGACAAAAATATCTCTGCCTGACATAATATTTAATTAACCCACAGCTTTTCCTACCTTTCTTTTTTTTTGGGGGGGTCCGGCTGTGGGGCCTGAACTCTGGGCCTAGGCACTGTCCCTCAGCTCTTCAGCTCAAGGCAAGCGCTCTACCACTGAGCCACCTTCCCAGCCCCCTTTCCTACATTTTTAATTGTCTAAACACAGTGGAAATTGTACAGGTCTAATTATACATATTCCAATCATCTGGCAGAAAAAGATGTAAGACATAATACACAACTGAATGTCTTTATTGTTTCTAAATGCCACATGTGTCATTCTGCCTTATTTATTTTTCTCTGAAAAATATTATAAATATTCCGGGTGGGGGAGCAGTTGTTTTGGCTTCGTTTTTGATGCTGGTCCTGGGCTTAAACTCAGGGCCTGAGCATGTCCCTAAGCTTTTCTGCTCAAGGTTAGAACTCTACAACTCTACAAGGCCGGCCACAACTCTGCTTCTGCTTTTTGCATGTTTAATTGGAGATAAGAATCTCATAGACTTTCCTAACCTGGGATGGTTTCAAACCACAATCCTCAGTTCTCAGCCTCCTGAGTACTTAGGATTATAAGTATGAGCCATCAGTGTCCAGCAATTCCTAGGTTTGTTTTTTTTTTTTAACTTATCTGCTAGGATCTGGGGACATGCCTTGTAATCCCAGCACCCAGGAGGCTGAGGCAAGTAGACTGAGCAAGCCCAGCCTAGGCTATATTGCAAGTTTGAGGCCAGCTTGGGCTATATAATAAGACCTAGACTCAAAACAAGTGGAGGAAGAGAAGGGAGTAGGGCAGAAAGACAAAAGAATGTCTATGACTATAGTTAGATATGTTTTCAAATACATCAGAAACCAGAATCTCAAGTTCTGATCAACCAGAGGTTCGGGAACTCTATGAAAGAGTAGATCTGTAATTGAAGGTTGTGCATTCTGGCTGAATCATTTGTATGACTTGCCATAGTTTATGATAATATCCTTGTAAATGTTTAAAAAACAAAGACTTCAATAATTCAAACAATATATATTATACAGAAAAGAACCATGAGAAAAGAGAATAGAAAGCTTTATGGCTTCACTTCAAGGCATACTGTAGTCAGTGCCTAGGTCCTGTTTACTGAACTCAAAACTCTGGGTTCAATGTCTGTGCCACACATAAATCATCTTATATATACTCCCTAATAAAGCCTCATGCAATAATGACCCCTGCAGCTCATGTCTCCCAGCACAGATGTCTTCTATTCTTGGGGCATCATGTAAGAGGGAAGCTAAGGCACTGAGGAGGCAGAGGTCAAAGCACTCAGCAGCATGCACTGTTACTTACAAGGTGGCCTTCCGAGGTTGCACATCCTTACTTCCACCACTCTTTGCATCAGCGCTACCTGTCCCCCGGGAGGTACTTGGTAATTGGGGATTAGGAGAAAAAGAAGGTGGGGCACTACTGGCACTTCGAGTCCGGAAGGAGTCATCTGAAAGGAATGCATGTAGAGAATGAAGCACATTGAATATGCCAAGAAGTTAGATGAACAGGAGCATGATTTATATACAATAAATAACACAGAGTTAGGTTTTGGCAGGGATATATTCCCATGAAGCTATTGCTACCCTTGGTGCTCCACTGCAAACCCTGTCTTCCTACCTCCTCCCTCATTAAACCACTAGTCACCTTAGATTGAATTTCTAAAATTTTATATAAAGAGAATATTAGAATTTTTCACCTGGCTTCTTTTATATTATCAGAGTAACTGAGATTGATTAGTATTAGTTATAACAGAACTTCCACTCCTTTTTATTTATAACTAGCACTGTATGGATATGCTGGAGTTGATCTATAATACTGTTTGGTAGACTTTGGGATTTTTCCAGGTTTTTTACAATTCTATACCATGCTGATAAGAATGCACATGTCTAAGCCTATATATGGATCTGTTCTAATATTCTTCAGTGAATGCCTCAAAGTAGAATTGCTGCATCATTAAGTACATAGTTATCTTCAGAAAAGACTGTCAAAGTACTGCTCAGATTCCTTTCTTTCTCCTTTCCTCTTCTTCCTTCAAACTGCCTTGCTCAATTCTGGCAGCAATGTATGGCAATGCTAGAGAGCTCTGCATCCTCCCATCGACCTTGTAGACAGTGCTCCACATCCTCTCACTGACCTTGGAGAGAGTGCTCCACATCACCTCATTGACCTTGTAAAGTGTTCTATATCCTCCCATTGACCTTGTAGACAATGCTCCACATCCTCCCTTTGATCTTGTAGTCAGTGCTCCACATTATCTCATTCACCTTATAGACCGTGTTCCACATCATCTCATTGACCTTGTAGAGTGCTCCACATCTTCCTACTGATCTTGTAGAATGAAGGACAACCTCTCTTGGACCTTGGGAAATGATCTACATCTTCCCTGTAGCGTACTCTGCATGCTAGCACTGGCCTTATAATGTTTCACATTCTCAAAATGTCCTTTATTCATAGACCTTAAATTTCAACATCCCTAACAATCAGTGATGTTAAACAGCTTTTTATACACTGACATGTGTATCTCATGCAAAGTTCAAGTTAAAAGTTTTGTCCACTTTAAAATTAGTTTGTGTGTGTGTGTGTGTGTGTGTGTGTGTGTGTGTGTGTGTGCGTGCATGTGCGCACATGCATGTGTGCATGAGTACCTGTCCCAGAGCTTTTGTGCTCAAGGCTGGAGCTCTATTATTGAACCAAAGCTCCACTTAGGGCTTTTTGGAGTCTAATTATAACAATATAATATTTTCACTGTCCTAAAAGTCCTCCAAGCTCTATTATTCTCTCCTTTCTCAGTCTCTGCCAAGCACTGATCCTCTTACTGCCTTCCATGGTTTACGCTCTCACAAATGGTCTTTAAGTGGGTCACGTAGTATGAATTCTGAACAGATTAGCTTCTTTCATTTAGCAACATGCATCTAAGGTTCTTCTATGTGTTTTTATGGCTTGCTAGCCTATTTGTTTATTTATTATTGTTCATGGCTTTTTCACACTAAATTGCAAGAGTTGAATTCCTATGACAGAAAGGAATTTGATCAGAGGCTAACATGTTTACAATGTAGCCCTTACAGAAGCTTTGGAACTAACTTTCAAGCATATAAGATGGTAAATATTTAGCTGTAAATGATGTCTTATGAATTCCTATTGTTTTTAACTTCCTTACAAATTACTGAAAATAATTTCTGTCTATGCCTCATCTGGCCCACAGACTATAACAAAACCACCTTACCACACAACTTTGTCCATCTTTTATCTTTTGTAAATATTAAGCTCTGAGTATTGACACAGTGGAAATAATATAGTTAAGGATTTACCCTGTTGCTAAGGGAAAGCTTAATTTCTTGAGTATTTGATAAAGACATACATTTAGAAAACTACCATGTCTAGAAAAAAGTCATTTAAAGCAAACAGAATTTTATTCAGCACAGTCACTTTTGGAAGAGTGTAGGCTGTGACTCACCAGGTAGTGAGATCACGCTGGTCTTCGGCAGCACAGAGACAGGAGGGACGTAAGCTGCTGGGGAGCTTTTACTAGAAAACAATGACTTCCTTTAAAAATACAAGAATACACTTCCTTCAATTTGTCACCTTATACTTCAGGTGTTCTAATCATTTTTGGTTCATACTTTTCTCTACTTATAAAACATACTGTTGCTTTCCTTTTTTAGTATTTTTTTACATTTCATACTTCAAAATACTTTATTCTATACATTAAAAACATTTCCTTAAAGCTTTGTTTCATCAGAATTACAATTTTTCTTTTGCTATGCAGCCAAGCCAGTAAAACAGGTAAAAATTTTCCTGGAAAGCACTTATCTTTAGTTATAATCCCTTTTTAAAATTGTTATTAAAATGGTGATATACAGAGGGATTATGTTTTCACAAGTCAGGAAATGAATACATTTCCTTTTGTACAATGACACCCTTTCCTTTACTCTCTTCCAGTTTTTTTTCCTTCCATCCCCACCCACAAGTTGTATAGTTCATTTTCCACACATGTCTAGTGAGTACCATTGCTACATTTGCTCACCCAATGTCCCTCCATTTCTGTGCCCCCTTGCCCTCCCAAAGACAGATAAATGAACAGACAAGACAAAAAGAAAAAAAACACAAAAACCCTCTTGTTTCCATTTCTTGGAGTTCATCTTGATAAATATTTTATATGATCAGAGACACATAGCCACTGCACCTTTGTGTTCCTCTCCTAAGAAGTCCCTTCTGGGGTCCATAGGATAGAAACTCCAGATATACTAGCTGACTGAAACAAATCTAGAATAAGTTGTCATTAATATAGGAAATGTTTTTTATTTAACACATTGTTTGTCTTGGGGGAAAATGAGTACTTTCAAAGACATTCATGTTTTCTTAAGATTACTTTGGTTGTCCATTGACATGCAGCTGTTAAATACCATGAATGTACAACACATATAACAAATCATGGTAATTTAAAATGCTTCTCACAATCTAAGGTATATCATTTTGTTTCCTAGGCCAAAATAGGAAGCCATCTGGGCACTAAAGGCTCAGGCTTGTAATCCTAGCTACTCAGGATGCTGAGAACTGATTATCATAGCTGCAATCCTGCCCAGGCAGAAAAGTCTATGAGACCCTTTATCTCTAATTAAACACACACAAAAAGGTCAGAAATAGAGCTGTGGGCTCAAATGATAGAACACTAGACTTGAGTAAAACAAGCTCAGGGACAGCCCCACCCCTAGTGCTTAGCTCAAGCCCCAGGACTGGAACAACAACAACAAAAGAAGCCAGATATTAACTGATTGCTAGGTACAGCATGTTGCACAGTAAGGCCTGGCAGGGTACATCTCGTACAATTAGAAGTGAGCTTACTCTAGAAACATGCTGCGGTTTTTTTTCACTGACATCAATAACATGGATGTCACACTCACTGCCATTTAGAAGTTAAGTGGCACATGTGATGGCCTATGCTCCTCATAAATGTTGTGTGCATTCTGTCACAGTTTATACAACACCATGGCAATATTCTTCCTCGAATGTCAGGCTACCTACGTTTAAACAAATGTTAAACTTTTCTTTTTTTTCCCCCAGTCCTGGGGCTTCAACTCAGGGCCTGGGCCCTGTCCCTGAGTTTCTTTCCTCAAGCTTAGCACTCTATCACTTGAGTCAAAGCACCACTTCTGGCCTTTTCTGTTTATGTGGTGGTACTGAGGAATGGAACCCAGGACTTCATGCATGCTACGTAAGCACTCTCTCACTAAGCCACATTCCAAGCCCAGACTTTTCATTCTATAACCTAACAATCTTTATATTAAAACATTGGACAAATTACTAGCCTATAAAATTGCAAGATTAAGTCTGGTTTAAAAATAATGTAAATATTTCATTAAAAGAAAGTACATATAAAATAAAAAAACAAAAAAACAAAACGCAAACAGCTGACATCATACTTAACACACTTCTCTAAGTTGCCATATTTTGCATGAAAGCCTTGATTATTGAAAGACTGGCTTCGAATCAATTTGGATTTCTTGATTTCTTTGCCTAGAGTAATAAGCAGAAAGAAGGAAAATGCAAGTGTTCAGTTCATGCTTGGCGGCCAGCTTCTCCAGTCCTCTCCTTACCCCTTCCCACCCAAGTCCTTTGCAGTAAACCACAACAGCCTAAGCAGGCTGGAGTATCTCTCACCCACACTACTGAAACAAGTCATGGCAAAAGGCTAAAGACATTCTAGAATAACTTGTCTATTCCCTGAAATAACATTTTTGATGATTTCTTTTTTTATTGTGAAAATACTGTACAGAGGGGTTACAATTACATAGTCAAGATAATGAGTACATTTCTTATCAAGCATTGTAGCCTCCTCCTTTGTTTCCCCTTCCCATCCTTTCCCCCCAACCGTTCCCCCCCCCACCAAAGTTGTAAAGTTCGTTTTCAACATAACAACTTGTACATCTCATTGTTGCATATTTTTGCCACTCCTGGGGCTTGAATTCAGGGCCTCGGCACTGTCCTGAGCCACTTTGTACTCAAGGCTAGTGCTCTAAGCCACAGCGCCACTTTTGGCTTCTTTTAAAGTAATTTATCGGAGATAAGTGTCTCACAGACTTTTCTGCCCCAGGTTGGCTTTGATCTGGAATCCTCAGATCTCAGCCTCTTGAATATCTAGGACTACAGGTATGAGCTACCAGCACCTGGCCTGGAAATTACTTTTTAAGAAAGAAAACAAATCATAAGCAGACATGAAAAGAAGCCACTTCTTACTTGTTGATGGGGTGTTAGAAGATGGTCCAGGAACAGAAACAGGGAGGGCCTTGGGCAGACTTTGTGTCTTAGTGTCTCTGCCTAAAACAAACTGTGTTTTAAGTTGCATAATTTCCTGAGTCCTACATTAATGTCCATAAATACAAAACATAGAAAATATGAATCCCGCTCTCTAGTTAAACAGCACTCTATTTCAAACAGTCCTTATTTGTAATTTCTGTATTTCAGTTTTATATAGTGAACAGTTCCACAGTCTTATAGCTGACATCAAGCTTTCCTTCTGAAGGATCCGAGTCCCACACTGATTCCAACCATTTATTCCTGCCATCTATATCACAATAAGCAGGCAATTTTCAAAAGCAACTTTTGAAAAATGAAAGGAAGTGAAGCAATTTTCTCCAACAAATTAAAAACTCAGTATGGCCTTTCAGAATACAAGGACACAACGTTGGTTCTGTAGCTAAGTGCTCAACAACCAGGAGAGACACTTACGTTTCTTCTCAAAGATTTTATCATTAGAGGACCTCCCGTCATTCTGTTGTTTCTCCTTCTCTAACTGCTCCTGCAATGAAAACAGGGGTTTCATATTACAGGTACAGCTTCAATAGATCTGGGAAGCTGTTCTGAGAGGAATTTTTAATTTTTCAGAGATAAAAACATAGTTCATAAAAATATCTTTAAAAAGTGGGGTCCCCATACTTGTGTCTAAACAATTCAGGGTTCAGAATTTGGATTTGTGGCCTGCCCTTTTTGGCATTGCTGTATAATGAGGCTTTATTTCTTTAGATTGTTTTTATGGGTTCCCAGCAGTATAGCATTTGTATTATTTCAGTTTCTAATGGAAAATGGCAAAATAATATTTTTATTCAAAAAAAAAGAAATTGTCTATTCTGTATATTTAAAATGCTATTAATGTATAATATAAATTATGTGAATCCTATCAAACATTTAAGGAAGAAATGAAACTAGTTTAAAAACCTCATCAGAAAATGAGAGGAGAGAATATTACCACCATAACATATTTGTGTCTGATGAGACACAGTAAGTGATAAAAACAGAATTATAAATTAATTTCACCATTGAGTCTTTGAAAACAGATGAAAACTCTTTAACAAAAACATCCGCTAGAAATTCAACAGTTGAGAAAACAAACACATCATCATGGGTAGGCTTATGACCTATTACAAGACTGGCTTAAAATCCATCACTGAATTGATGAATACAAAGAAAGCCAACAATCACTTCTAGATATGCAGAAGAAAGGTTCTGACAAAATTTAACAATGATTCATGAAAGGTGTGAGCAAACCAGGAAGGAACATCCACCATCTGATAAGGGACATCTACCTGACACCTGCTGATGCCTTGTAGCTAATGAGAAAAGAGTCACCTGACCCTCTCTCTTGATGATCAGTGAAGTATAAGATGCCCACGTAGACCACTTTGACTTAACTGTAAGTCTTTAAGTGCAGTGGAGGCCCCTCCTTATATATGTTTAATCTTCCTGATATTAAACTGCTACTTGTCCAAAGGGGTCATGCCATGGGTTCCCACACCACATATACCATATATTAGTCAGTCAGTGTGATTATGTTGCTCAATTGTGTTTGTGTAAGGCTCTCAAAGGTAGATTTTGTTCTTGTTCATGAAAAAACAGATTTCAAAAAACTAAAATTGTTCTAGAATTAGCCATTTAAGAAAGAAAACAGTGAGACATTGAAAGAAGTTATTTCTAAGTTTTGTAACAAAGCACAGGCAGCATGTACTGGAAAAGTGTAGGTGTGTATGCACATGAAAACAACGTACCATCTCCAAAAGAAGTAGCTCTTCTCTTTCTTTCTCTTGATCCAACAAATCTTTTTCATAAAATTTTTTCTGAAACTGTTCAAAGTTGAAAATGACATTGTCATACAAGTAAAGACTTTCTGCTGATTCTGAAAGATTACTTTCAATATAAGATAAAGAATGCATACTTACAGCATCCATAGACATTTCCATTCTGTCCAACTCTAACACAGTCTAAAAGAAAGGTTTGATAATTATTCAGCCAGCTTCACAAAGACACTCCTTTCTCAGAGATGTTCAAAGCAAAGACTATCTGGGAGATTTAATTAAAAACTTTAATCTTTAACCCAATTCTATAAAACTTATAATCAACTTTTACATATTAATGTCATGATCCCATTTAACTTTCAGATGTTCTTAACAAGTCTAGAAGCATATTTCAAGTACCAAATAACTAAGAACCCCCAGTGTCAGTCTTTTTTCAACAGAAATATAATGTAGTTTTTGACATTTTAAAAAGTTTCACGACCAAGTATATATGAAACAAACTATCAACTGGCTTAAAATGCTTAGTTTGCTTCCACAGAAAGTATTTACCATTGTGACTTTCTAGCCAACAGAGAAGGCTTTGAACTGTAACAACATGCTCTCAATGTTTTTTCTTTCAGAACACTGATCTGAAGCAATACACTGATCTGATTAACTATGGTTAATCAGAACATGACAAAAGACAATACTTCTAACATTATTGAACTAGTTTAACTCCTATGATCAAAATAAATTTATATATTCATATGCTCAAAGATGTCTATTACAAACAGAATTATCTGAAGCTTTGTTTCTATTTTGACATTTATTAGAAATTTCGAATTTCGGGCACCAGTGGCTCATGCCTGTAATCCTAGCTATTCAGGAGACTGAGTTCTGAAGGTTGCAGTTCAAAGCCAGCCTATGAAGAAAAGTCCATTAGACTCATCTCCAATTAGCCACCAAAATAAGCTGGAAGTACAGTTGTGGCTCAAGTAATAGAACACTAACCTTGAGTACAAACTCACAGGGACAATACCCAGGCCCTGAGCTCAAGCTACAGGACCAGCACACACACACATATACAAACAGAATTTATGGCAAGTCTCCTTTTCAAATTATAAGTACTTCCTAAATTAAAAGGCTGGTTAGAGCAAGCTTTGTGTAACTTCCTCAAGGATTTCACATGAACACCTCAGTTCTATCTAAAGGAAACTATAACATGTTTATGGACTTACTGACATCATGTGAAATGAACTTAAAAGTAAGAGTTATACTCCAAAACAATCCACTGTGGACTAATAATCCATTAACTTAATCATGTCATTAGCGTAACTTTTTATGGAGGTAGCATTCTTCTGGAAGAATAATTAACTCTCATACTTATATTTTAGCAAGTTAAAATAATTGTCTAAACTTCCATATTTAAATAGTAAGTATAGAAATGTCTGTTAAATGTGTGTGTGTGTGTGTGTGTGTGTGTAGTGTTGTGTTGTGTGTTGTGTTCAGATTTCTAATTATTTCTATTAATGAAAGAACACCCATTTTAGTAAAACAAAATTATACAACTTAATAATAAGCTATCAAATCACTTTATAAAAAGGTTCCATTCTCATAACAGATACCACATAATGGCATCTAGGGAAAAAAACACAAAAGAAATTCACAGATTCTCTTTTTTTCCTCTCATCATTCATGCTAATTTATTCATAAATAAATGTTTAAAAACTGCATTTTAAAATTCATACCCAGATTCATAAAAGTGATCTCTTAAATTTGACTTGATCTTATAACAATACTAGTTAATACTTAGCATAGTTTTTTAATAAAAGTTTTTTAATAAGTATTTCAAGGTTTGATCTCATTAACTTTACTAGTTTCACCATTTTAGTTAATATTCCCAAACAATATCTCTGGATAAGATCTCATACCAAAATAAAACAAAACAAAATCATAAAGGAAAACGTCAGTGTCTGGTAAGAGAAGTGTCTAGGGGTAGGAATTAAATCTCTGGTTAGTCCTGGCTCTGCCACTTCCTAATTCCACACTTTTGAATAGTCAGACGACTGAACTAATTCTAATTCTAGGGCTCTTCCAAGACTGTTTTGACAAAATGTGACTTTCCACACTTTACCAGCAAAGTTTTACTGGGTGACCATCACTCAAGTAAAATCAGGAGAGTTATCCATCGAGTAGTGTTTGTGAGTTGCCCAACATGTGCCGAGCTCTCCTCACATGCTTACATGTTAGCAATAAATCTCTGAAAATGAGCTTCATATTTAGCTGAAGCACACATAACCCAAAATCAGTTATTATTCCTTACTGCTCTTCTGAAGAAATAAATGTGCTTTAAATAAAAAACTGGGGGTTGAACTCAGGACCTTGAGTTTGCTAGGCAGGTGCTCTACCACTTGAGTCACTCTACCAACCCAAAACTATAAATACTTTAACAGCATGGCAGCATGTTATTGTTAAGGCAATAAAGCTACAGCTAACACTATCCTGGTGCAATAACACACCTTGTCTGAGCAGAAGTACTTACTCTCTTTACAATGGCCAGAACATCTTTATCTTTTTCTTGACACAGGAGTTTTCTCACGCACATTTCTAACTGCTGAAGAAGATGCTTGTCTGCAGGAATCTTCAGAGTTGATTTCACTTTGGGCAACAGGTAGCAAAGTTTCATTCTGTATTTAGAGTGAATTTAATAACCAAGAATAATCGTAGCATGAAACTGCCAACCATTCAAGTTTTAGATAGCCCAGGACTTCATTTAGTTATACAAAAATACTTGTGTAGTGCCTATGAATAGGCTAAACATTCATTATTCTGGATACTGAGGCACAGAAATGAATCCAATGTACAAAGTTATCTGCTCTGAGGGACTTTTCATTTCAATACAGGGCATAGAAGAGAGAGTAACAAGCACATTTCTGTCAACAGTGGTAAGCACTGTGGAGAAAATCAAGGGAAAGATGAGACGTATTAGAGGGGGTGAATCGATCTTAAAGCAGGCATTGAGAGAGGAGTCAGAGAAGGCTTCACTGAAAACATGACATTTAAGTGAAGTCCTAAAAAGGAAGAGAGTATGCAGATAGCTGGAGAAAGCACTTGGGGCAACAGGGGAGCTTGCCTGATTGTTCCTTACTAGCAAACTGGTCCGCATTAGCAGTTAGCTGTTATGGCAGAAGAAAGTAGCAATGCAATTAGCTGGAAACCTCAGGGTGGTATTAAGAGAAAGCTTGTACAGAGTTCTGAGGGCCACTGTAAGGAGAACAGCTTCTATTTTGAGTGCAATGAGAAGCATTGGAGAGTTCAGAACAGGTAAGTGAAGTGATCCAGTTTAATTTTGTGTGTGTGTGTGTGTGTGTGTGTGTGTTTGTGTATGTGTGTGTACGCTGGTCCTGGAGCTTGAACACAGGGTGCTATGCCTGAGGTTCTTTTGCTCAAGGCTGGTACTCTACCACTTGAGCCACAGCTCTACTTCAGGATTTTTCTGCCTGGGCTAGCTTTGAACCATGATCCTTGGATCTCAGCCTTCTGAGTAGCTAGGATTGTGTGTGAGCAAAATTAACTTTTAAAAGCATTATCTGTCTGTTGTTTTGAGATTAGGCTGTATGTGGTCAAGGGCTGAAGAAGAGAAACAACAGGAAAACCCCAAGAAAGAGCTGAGTAGAGGTGCGGGAAGAGTCTAGGTTCTGCTTCTCTCTTGTAGGCAACAGCTGTGCTCAGGTTTGGAGGTAGAAAGACAGAAGGAACCTCAGCAAGTGGGAGAATGAACTAGTTACTTACTAAACTGAAGAAGAATGTAGAAGAAATTAATGCAGATTAGGAAGATTCAGATTGAACTGTACATGGCTGAAACCTGAGGTATCAATGAGACATTGAGTGGAAATGCTAAGTGGCAGTTGGCTCATGAGTCTGTGCACTGGAAGCTAGCCTAGTTTAGGAAGGGATGCTGTGTGCCTGTTTATCTTATACAGCTGTGTTCATTCATCATATTTTCTCCAGATTATTCTCTTCTTTTCTGTTTTGGCAAAAATTGAGGCAGTTAAGTCCCATTCTGAGAACTTCTCAGGATGCTGCCTCAGCAAAACCTTCAGCTGAGTTTTTCATAGATTTTTTTTACAGAGAACAAAGAAAGGTTTATGGCCAGGAAAGAGCCGGCAAGACCCCTTCTCACAAGGGAGAAGTGAGAAGAAGCACCAGCTATTGTCTGAGGTGACCTATATAACCTAAATGGTTTAAGAGGGGCTAGATGAGGCTAGGAGGCAGAGACCCTGGTATGGATGTGAGGGTCAGGGGCTTCATCATGGCAGACTAGGATTTATGGCTGCAGCTCAAGTAGTAGATAAGGGGCCCTGCAGCTGCTCAGACCTGAAGGCCACTCTAAGGGGCTTGCCACGCTGACTCCAGTAGAGTCTGCTTAGCATGGGAAACCATCTATCAGACCAAGATAGGGCTTCAGAGACCTATCTCTGAGTTTTGGGACTTCACCGAATTCTACCTCGGAGAATAGGGCTTCTAAGAGGCCTACTCCTGGAAAGGCTGGCAAACCCCTGGGAAAGATGTGTTTCTGCCTTTCTTTTCCTCATAAGAGTGCCTATTAATCTTTTACTGCTTCTACTGCTGCTCATTGTCAACGTTCCCTTATTCAAAGCTCTTTCTTAAGAGTGTTGACGACTCCAATATCTGATGAGTGTCTTAAAAATATGACTAACTCACCAGAGTTAAGTGCTACCCTGAAACCCCTCTTATGGAGTTTAGTAGACAAGTTATAAGTAAATATAAAAGTATTGGGGGTTTCACAAAGTCACTTCAGCAGAAGGAATTGTTTGTAAGGGATTTACAAGAAGCTGTAGGCGCAACTAGAACAGAAAGAATGTATGGCAATTGCTGAGACAGTTATTTAGGAGAAAGAATTTCCTGCTATTTACTAAGAGAATTGCTAGATCCAGGTCTCCTTGAAGTTTACTATTAAAGAAGAGACAGGAAAAAATCTTATGGGAAAGTTAAGGCCTCTATAAAGATAGGTAATGGTTAATTGGTGACAAACATCAAAACCCAAACCCATTGTATTCCTTAGAGATAAGCGGAAGACAAATGCCTATCAGGAGACCAGCTGGTGACCACCCAAGAATGAAGCCCTGCAGCAAGATTGTGTAACCTTTTGCCCTTTCTCAGGGAGACTTCTGCTATAAAAGTTTGTTATCCTCTGCATTAAATTGCATTCAGCATCCACTCCTCTTGTGTGTGAGTTGTCTGTTTGCCATCTCCCCCCTATTCCAGGTTCCTCCCCTAGGTGTCCTCCGTCGTCCCTACAGAACCCCGTCCGCGGCAGGGGCTCTTGTGATAGCATGTGATTTTATACATCCAAAAGGGTGAAGAAATTCCTCCTCTAGAATTTTCAGCACTGTACAACAAAGGCCTCAGTTTCCCCAATGCTCACCATGGATACTGGTAACATTTCCTCCAATAGGAGGCCCAGTTCCCCTAAAGAGAAACTATCTCACTTCTGACCACTGAGGAGAAGGCTTCTCTGAACACCATGAGAGTATTTCTAGCCTCAACAGTGCCTAAACGCAATGAATTTAAATTTTAAACTCTCACTCATAGAGGAACGAAAACATTAACAGTCTTTAGACACTTCTATAGAGAAAAGGAAAATATATATTCCTCAGAACTTTAAAAAAAAACATTGATTTATCTCTGTGAGATGCCAGAGCCCAGAAGATCACAAAGTCCTTGAGAATAGGGATCACAGCTTTTTGATCAACTAGACTCTCTATATGATCATATTAATAATGTCAATTCCACTTTCTCCTGATGCTAGTACGTGTCCAGAACCTGCCAAGCTGGCTTTGACTTTCCGCTATCTCAACCTACCAAGACCAAGGCTCCAAGATAGCATTGTACTATTGATAATCATCAATTAAGAGAAGTAAAGGATGGAAGGTGGGATATCAAGATATGTTATAAACTGAAATTAAGATGAATTTTACTTATAAACTGACATGTATAGCTACTTAAAAATATTTTTTAGTAAGGACAAGTGGGGTCTTAATTGCTGCACTATTTACATAGCCAGGATAAAGAGTCAACTGAAGCATCTACCAACAAACCACTAGAAAAAGTAATATTGTATATATACACAATTAATTATTATTCAGTAAAAAAAAATGAACAGCTGGGTGCCAGTGGCTCATCCCTGTAATCCTAGCTACTGGGAAGGCTGAGAACTGAGAATCATAGTTCAAAGCCATCCCAAGCAATCAAATTTGAGAGACTTTACCTCCAATCAACCAGCAAAAAGCCAGAATGAGAAAGGTGGCACCAGTAGTTGAGTGCCAGTGAGGAAGTTGAGTGAGGATGGGAAAACTCTGAGTTCAAGACCCAGTACTAGTACTGGGACCGCAGGAACATGAATGGAACAAGGAGACATTATGCAAATATGTAAAGGTAACATAGCCAAGCACAGAAAGACAAGTAATGCACATGCTCAAATGTGGAAGATTAAAAGTTGGGGTCTAGAAATAAATGAAAATACTAGTTACTAGAGAACAAGAAGGGAAAGTGGATTTAAGAATTTGAAAACAAGTCAGGTGCTGGTAATCCTGTAATCCTACCTACTCAGGAGGCAGAGATCTGAGGATCTGAGCCAGCCTGAACAAGAAAGTCAATGATACTCTTATTTCCAAGTAACCATCAAACAACAACAACAAACCCAAAACAGAATAGAGCTGTGGCTAAAGTGATAGAGAGCTAGTCTTGAGTAAAAAAGCTCAGGGACAGTACCCAGGCCCCGAGTTCAAGCACAGGATAAGAACAAAACACACACACACAGACACACACACACTGACACACATACACAGACACACACACACACACACACACGGAATTTTTTCACTTTATTTTTCTACCGATTAATAAAGATTTTTACAAGTATTTGTTCTAATAGATAAAGCTAGACTTCAGTGACTCATACTTGTAATCCCAGCTACGTGGGAGGCAAAGATCAATAGGACTGAGGTTCAAGGCTAGCCTGGACAAACAGTTCATCAGACCCCATCTCAATCAATAACTGGGCATGATGGCATGCTCTTGACATCCCAGCCATACAGGAAGTATTAATGGTAGGCTTATATCCAGAGCACGAATGTGATATCCTATCTTAAAAATAATTACAGGACAAAGGGCCAGTGGTGCATGTGGCTCAAGTGGGAAACTCCCTGCTTAGAAAGCAAGAGGCTCTGAGTTAAATCCCTAGTGGTCTCTCTCTCTCTCTCTCTCTCTCTCTCTCACACACACACACACACACACACACAGAGATATGCAAATACAATGTTATCAAATATTTTATGGGAGTGGCAACATACCTCACATTTGCTACTGGGTCGTGTGTCAGTTCAATAGCAGGTAGAAAAAAATATTTACAGAAAAATGACTTGGAAAAGATTTCTATGATAAATTCACAGGTATCCAAAAAGCGGAGTCTATTCCAATAACTTTTTCCTTGGCCCAATTCTAGAAAGAAAAACAAAAATATCACAAGTTAAATTTTCCTATGTACTATACACATAATATCTCATTTAAACCTGAAAAACAGTCCAATGTGATACATGTACCTATCTCTTCTAAAAGGTAAAAAAAACAAAAAAACAAAACTAAGATTCAGAGATCAAATTCAGATCTATGCAATTTCAAAATCTTTTTTAAACCAATTTCTTACTCTTAAGAATGCTTTGAGGTCAGATGATGTGACCTCACCTTCTTAGGGGAAAGAGATCAGAAGAACCTATTTTTCTCCTATCAGCCCAAGAGAAAAGTTAATGACAGCCTATCTCAACAAACAAGTCAGATATGATGGCACATGTCTGTAATCCAACTACAGCAGAGACATAAAGAAGAGGATTCTGGTCTGAGGCCAGCCTGAGGGAAAAAGGATGAGATGTTATCTAAAATAATAACTAAATCAGAAAATAAATCAAAGGTTAGAAATATGGCTCAGATGATAAAATGCTTGCCTAGCAAGTTCAAGGCCCTGTGTTTAAAAGAAAAAAATAGACAATGTCATATCTAAACATAATTATTGGCAGTAAATTATATTAAATGAAGTAAGCCAGGCCCAAAGGAATAATAGGTCCATGGTATCCCTTACTTGCAATAACTAGTATATGTCTAGGACAACAGAAAAGATCAAAAGCTAAGTACATATGCCCATATAAGAGGATGCTAAGCGAAATAAACCCCAAGAAAGGGACACAAGAGGTTTTATCTTTGTTGCTGTTTTTTTAATATACTTATAATGTACTATGTGATTTTTCTGTTTCTTTTGTATGTCTTCCCCCATGGTATAACCTCTATTTTCACTGTATTTGATTCCAGTGCCCTGCAGCTTGTATATACATTATCCTAATTTGGGGAGGGAAAGAGAAATAACAAAATGCTGAAATAAGGATACATGTTGACCCATTTTAGCAATGAGATGTACAAGACACTATATTGAAAATGAACTTTGGGGGGGGGCAGGGCAGAGGGAGGAGGAGAGGGAAGAGATGGAAGGGATGGTAGGAGAAAAACAAAGGAAGGGATAAAAATGGTCAATAGGAAATGTACTCATTACCTTACTCATGTAACTGTAACCCTTCTGTACAGAATCTTTATAATAAAAAATATATTTAAAAAAAGAAAAGAAAAAAATCTGGTCAATATTTAAAGGATAATTTCCTCCTTTTTTACATAAATGTTCAAAAGCAAAATTATTATTCAAAACCAAATAGAACCTTTCAAAATAAAACTTATTCTAAATGTGAAGTTCTACAAATAGAAAAATAAAACTTATTGAAAGAGACAACAAAAAAGATGAAAATAATTTGAGCATAAGTTTTTAAATACAATTTTAGAAAAATACTCTGACTTTTTTTGATAAGTGAAGATCCATGCTCTGATAATGAGAGTCCACTGCTGCCCCGCTGGGCACAACATGTGTGCAGTGATTGCCACATTTACTCAGCAGATACAGGCCATGGCTTTAATTCAAGAACTGACATTTTAATGATTGGGGCCTGCATTTTAGCCTTATAACAAATCTGTACTTGTTAACTGACTTCAATTCATTTATTCCATTTACATATGTTCCTATTTCCTTCTCTCTTTTTTCAATCATTTTTAAATTTTCTTTAAATAGTTATACAAAGGGATTTCAGTTTAACATGCCAGTTTATGAGTACATGCATCTTGACCCATGTCACTCCTTCTATCATTCCCCTCCACATCTCTCCCAACACCACCCATCACCTCAAGATTCCATTTTCACACATGCACACTGAAAACTATGCACGTACTCATCCTTTCTTCATTCACTTGCCTTCCAAGTCCCCTTAACCCAACGCTTGAAACCCACCAGGGCTCATCAATTTCATACCCACATACTGTCAACTGTACTCCAGGAAGAAAATCCACATTCAGTTAATTCTACTAATACTGAAAAAAGAACTGTAAAATTAGTGATCAAATTCAAATATATTCTATTCACATTTTAGTCCCAAATGGTAAAGGTAGAAATTAGACTTTCAATACAATTTACCTATCATAATTTCTTAAGTACTGGAATTATCAAAAGAAGGTTCTATGTAATTTCTTTCATTCATACCACAAAACTCAAATAAAAGGACACTCTAGACATTTAGCAACATCAGCTTAGGGACTCCCAGAAAAGTGCTAAAAATACAAGTAGGTCTAATTAAACCCAGCTGGATCGGTAACTTTCTCTTTTTCAAAATAAAAGACAATGATTACTTACGTTCAATTAGTTTTTGAATGACTTCATGTCTCTGATCTTGTTTACGATTATACCGTAGAAAAATGCACAGAGTTCGTGAAGCTGCTTTCTGGACAGGTAAGACATTCTTAAAGAAATAATAAAGACAATTAGGCTAATCTAATATAAATCCAATGACTTGTCATAGTCAGTTTTAAATTACTGACTAAACAAGAAGTGTAACTGCCTTCCCAGTCCCTGTACTTGTGCCCTGCTGGATGTGAGTCCTTAACTTAATGTAAATCCTACCAGACATCATATTACAAAACTAATATAATTTGGCATAGTCATTCAGATTTGACTCTTTTCCTCACCATGACATCTTAAATCAGCATTCTCCTCAAACAGGTCAATGCCATGCTTTCTTGTCATTCCCTAGATGTTGTCACTCATTCATTTAATTCTATCTGCTGAACATGTCACATGTCTGTTACATCGTCAAAAATGTGCCACTTGTAAATCATACACAGAGATCACATGACCAAGGACACTCTTTACATCTTCTACCTTAATATGGTTCTTCAGCCTCAATGTCCATCACTGAGATCGCTGGTCCATGAATGATACAAAGAATTTAGAATCTGAACAATTCATTCTCACCAACATTATAACTCTTTTTTTCTTTCAAATTCCTGTCATGTCTCTGGGCAAATCTCAATCCTAAATGAATTCAGTTGTTTCTACTGGTTGAGATTCAAACTGTATATTAAGAAAAAAAAAAAACCTCTCAACCAGGCAGACAGCTGAAAATGCAAATTGTTAAGAGTGGAAATGCTAGCAATACAGTGCTGCGGGTATTAAGCATGAGGACAGTAGTGACCATGTCCTCTCCAGTCCACCTAAGCTATTTCCACTATGTTGAGCACTATGCCAGTAGCCTTATATGCACGATGGGCAGGTGGGCAGAGCAGGTCAGGGGAGAATGGGCACTCTGAGGTGACACATGGCTGTGGCAGACAGAAAGGACAATACAGCAGAAGATCTTTGGCAGCTGAGATCACTGGGTCCTGCGCCAACCTTCCTCTGGAAAAGAGCTATGTCAAGTTTGAGAAGTCTGTCTACACTCCCCCTGGCAATGCAGATACAAGGGGCAAACAAAGCTGTGCCTGTTCACCTAGCAAGGGTAGGATGGTCAAAGGGAGACCTCTAGTCCCCTCCTCAGAAACCTGAGAAGCCATTCTCCTAAGCAGAATGGGAGCAAGTAGTTTGTCATGCTATTTTGAAACTGTGAAGAATTTGATAATGTCAAATCCAACTACAAGTTCAAAAGAATCAAATGAAAGGTGTGAACGGCTCACATTGGTCATCATGATGGTGAACATTCTTTGTAGGAATCGGTAATAGATCTGATCACTCGATATGACATGTGGCAGACAGGCATACTTCTGCAGCAGCTTCTCGTGAGTTCTCCACTTCAGAGAGGCTGCCGCCCGCTGCTCGGCAGCGGTGAGAGCTGGAATCAGGTCAGGAAGGGAGGTCAACTGCAAAGAAACATCAAAAGGACCAACAACGACTAAGTAAATCAGCTGCAGGAGGGGTTTCAGAGGTTAAAAGGTGTGTTTGTTATCATCAGGAAAAGTTATCTGGTGAAAATTAAATATTTTCTTAAAATTCCTAAATAAACTTCCAAGATTCTTAGAATCAGGTTTTTAGAGATTGGACTCATCATTCTTCCATGTATGTTGATTAACACTGCAACTGTTGTAACTAAGTTTGTTATATATCATATTATCAACAAGCTTTGGCCTAAATTCCTAACCATTTAAACTATTTTTTACTCTTAGAATTATCGTTAATGCTGAGACCTAAATACAAATTTCAAAGACAATAAGTAAGAACTATGTAGCATAACAATTATTAATGTAGGAATTGTAGAGGAAATTTAAGTTGTTCCAATGCTTCTACAAACACATATTGTGCATCAATCACCACTTATCTATCACCTATCCATTATTTGTTTACTGTAAAAATAACAAAGTTTATCAGTTTAAAAATATTATACTTGAAAATTACTTTATTTTTGAGATTTTGAAATAATTTGCACACTTCATTTTATTCACGCATACATGAGAAACATTAGAAATTAGAAAACAGAAGCATGTTTGGCTTTCTGTACAGTTAGCTCCACAACACAGCCAGAGCCAGCAGCCCCTTGCTCCTGTACAGAAAGTTTCATTCCTTCCCACCTCCTAGGGAAATCTGGGTGGGAGGTGCCTATGCCTTGGCCTTCTGATTCCTCAGGGACAGGAAAGGAATTCAACAAGGGAGCTTACAGCGGTTCAAATAATCATCAACATACCATGGTGACTCTTCCCAGTAAGGCCAATAGGCAGCTGGGAACCCCCACCTACCATTTATGAGTCCTATGGTGACACTCTTTCCAGTAAGGCTCACAGGCAGCTGGGGATCCGCACCTGCCACTGGCAGGCTGGATGCTCATCACCCCAGGCAAGCACCATTTTACAAGTTTCCTAAACATTATTCCATTGATTCTTCACAATACCCTGCTGGGTAGGAAATGCTTAGGAAATTCATAATCATTTAGGAGAGATGGGATTTACCTTATTCTCTTGCACACTGTTTTCTCCAACAGTGGACATGAGCTCCAAGATTTCTGGAAGATGATCTATCAGAGCATCTAGAACCTTTAATAGAGATAGTGATTACTTGTATAGTGACTACTGTTTTTCTAAATAAGTTAACTCTACATGTTAGTTTCTACATAGAAACAGTATTATTTACAAAACATTTTCTTACTCTACTATCTTCTTATTGGAAAGTCTTAGATTTTGCTTTGATCAGTCTACTTTGAAAAAGAGGTTGGTGTCTAAGTTGATCTAATTTGGTGGAAGTTGGAGCCAGTGATCTACCTAGCTAACAAGCTTTTGAAGGGGGTTCCACATCAGGTGTATGACACGCTCTGGCAAGCTAGTAGTCACACAGAGGAATGGGATGTCCTAAATCTAGCATCAAAACAAGAGACTTCAACATCTCCACAAGTATATACTAAGAAGTAAAATACTCTCCAAACAATGCTAGAGGAAAAATGAAAATATTATACATAATTACAATTGTATGAATAAAAACCTTTCTAGTCAATTGTATGAATAAAAATCTAACATTCAGTAAAAGAATAAAAACATAACATAAATAATAGTGAATGGAATTAAAGATACCCTCTTGTCTGTTTTCTTGGTACTGTGTAAATTTTCCTTAAAAAACAAATGTCTATTTCCTTTTTAGAACCAAGTATTCTTTCAATCCTAATTTTTAAAGATCTTCCCAATACCCAGTATATGATACAATAGTGTACTGTTTGAAGCTTCAGGGTAAATCAGCTCAAAAAGCCCATGCAACTCACAAGAAGTTTGTACTTAAGTTATAAACTAAAGAAAGGTAAGAAGATATTACCTCCAGTGATTCATCTTGTAATAATGTTATCAGCTCTTTGTGTATTAGATATACTCCAGAATTCAAAAGTTTAGACACCTAAAATACAGCAATAAAACCTCTCAGATCTGAAACTTCAGCATTAAAATTAATACAACTTTGTCGGGTACTTCCAAAATAAAAATAAGCTATAACATAAGCATATACTTGGATTTCTGGTCAACTCAACGGTATAGTCAGCTTCATTCATCTGTTTCACATAGCATGCTGGAGTATGTGGGCAGGAAATGTGGAAGATCACCAAAGTCATAACTTCTCTATCACAAGCAATAAAAAGCCCATGAAACTGGGTGCTGGTGGTTTATCCAAGTAATCCTACTCAGGAGGCTGATATCTGAGGATCACAGTTCGAAACCAGTCCAGATAGAAACGTCTCCATGAGACACTTATCTCCAATTAACCACTCAAAAATGGAAGTAGAGGGGCTGGGAAGGTGGCTCAGTGGTAGAGTGCTTGCCCTGCATGCCTGAGGTCCTGGGTTTGATTCCTCAGCACCACATAAGCAAAAAGAAAAAAGCCAGAAGTGGCGCTGTGGCTCAAGTGGTAGAGTGCTAGCCTTGAGCTGAAGAGCTGAGGGACAGTGCCCAGGCCCAGAGTTCAGGCCTCACGACCAGACCACCCCCCCAAAAAAATGGGAGTGGAGCTGTAGCTCAAAGTGTTAGGGCACTAGCCTTGAACAAAAAGGAGCTTGAGGACAGCCCCACAACTACCACCAACAACCAAAAAAGCCCATGGATGCCCCGATTTCTCATTTAAAAGTCTGAGGACACCCCATTACACAAGTATTTATTCCAGTTCACAACTTCCCAAACAAGGCAACTTCTACAGAAGGCCTACAGTGATGTCAGAGTGATACTAACTCTCAAGGAGGTAAAACAATATCCTCCTTACTGAAAATTCTAAACAGCATGAGAGGAGTTGGGAGAGACCAGGATAATTCAGCTGTCTTTTGAGAATAGTGCTTTTTCCTCTCCAAACAAACTAAGAGCCTAAACTGGGGAAATTCACCAGTTTCTGACTCACTGTTGCATTCTTCTTTAGCAATTCTGGGGTTTGAACTCAGGGCCTTGCCACTGCTAGGCTGGAGTGATACCACTGAGCCAAGTTTTACATTTTTTTTTCTTTTTTTGGTTGGTCATAGGGCTTGAACTCTGGGCTTGGGCGCTGTCCCTGCGCTCTTCAGCTCAAGGCGAGCGCTCTACCACTTGAACCACAGCACCATTTCCAGTTTTCTAGTGGTTTATTGGAGATGAGAGTCTCACGGACTTTCCTGCCCGGGCTGGCTTTGAACTACCATCCTCAGATCTCAGTCTCCTGAGTAGCTAGGATTACAGGCATGAGCCACCGGCACCCGGCTTACACTGGTTGTTTTTATGATAGGGTTTCACTTCACAGCTGGGCATGCACCTGAGCTTTGATCTGCCTGCTTTAGACTTCCCCTCTCCACTGAGATCACAGGTGCACCCCTCTGTGTCCAGCATCCTTCCATAGAGACAGAGTCCCTTAGACTTTTCTGCCCAAGCAGGCCTGGCACCAGAATTCTCCAGAGCTTAGCCTCTCATGTTGCTAGGGATGGCAAGCATGTACTATTACTTTGCAGGAGTTTGGGGTTACAGGTGTAAACCACTGGCACCGTTTCTCTGTCAACTTTAAAAAAAATTTAAACCATAATAGGTTTAAGTGAAATTTTATTTACAAAAAAAATAAGAATGAAGTTAGAAAATTGTAAAGCAATTCTAATAATCTAGTATTAACACTAGATTAGAAGAATTTAAATCTACCAGTGGATTTTCATTATTTAATGGCTAAGTCAAAATAAAGCTTTCATTTTCATGTTTAATATTGTTTTTAGTCTATCTATACAGCATGACCATGAAGATGGAAACCAGCCAACAAGGAAACAAGTAAACCAGTGATCCTCAGTCACTCCTAGGAGATAAATGGTGTGGGGGGGGGGTGAGAGAGAGAGAGAGAGTGAGCTGGGGTTTGAACTCAGGACCCTGTGATTGCTCAGCTGACACACAACCAAGTGAGCCATGCCTTCAGCCCTACTTTTTGCTGGATGGAGTCTCACAGACTTTTCTGTCTGGACTGGCCTCAAACTACAATCTCAGGCTCCTGTTTAGCTGGGATGACAGTCATAAGCTACCAGTGCCCAGCTTATGTTTCATATACTTATGCATTTGAATATGTCCATTTACATGGTGCTATATGATATCCACTATAAAACATATAATAAGGAATGTGATAAAAGTCAACAGAAAGTCTAGAATTGTCTAAATACTGCGTTTTTATGCAACTAATAGTTGTGTACATCATAACCAGCCTAAATGACACTTATCCTAGAGACTGATGGGCAGTACTTTCTGCCCTTTCCCTTCTTCCAGAAGCAGATTTTTATAGGTATGTTTATGAAGATGATGTAAGTATGCATCATTGAAACTACTTTAAGTAATTGTACCATTTGAGAGGAATATTTCATAGATGCTGTACAGTGTAAAAATATTTTTATCCATATCAGAAAAAATGGTATTTTGAAGGAGCAAAGAATATCACTCAACAGCCAAAAGAATCATAAGTACCATTTATAATGGTGCTGCAAAGGTCCTGATACTTCCAGCTAATCCAAAAGTGCTGTGACCTGGGAACATAGTACAAGGAGAAGGAAATATTCTCACTGAAAACAAGATTTTGCTGCACTACTTAAAGGAAATATTTTGTAACACTAATTATGAAGACATTTTTAGGTGAATGTCTTGAAATTGGCAAGTTTCAGGTGACAGTGTTTGCTGTAAGTACAGCATCTGTGTGCTCCTCTGTTAACCTTAGAAATGGGACCCACATTTCAACTTCAGTAGTGAAAAAGTTAGTCACACCCATCATGAAAGTTTAAATTTACTTTTAAACAAAATTATGGAAAGATGTAATAGCTGAATCTAAAAGCTATGCCCATAAAACACTGTTCATTTCTAGTAAAAAAATTATTAAATGCAAACAATCTGTTTCTCCAAGTTTTATTTGTTCCAAAGCTGACACAGACACAGTATAAATACTACGAAGCATATAAAAAGTCTATTATGAGCCAGGCAAGGGGGCTGTAATTACACCTGCAATCCTATCTCTGAGAGAATCCTAAGAGTAAGAGCATCACTGCTGAGACCAGCTCTATCTGAGAAATAATAACTAAATAAAAAAGGGCTAGGGCACAGCTTATGTATTAGAGTACTGGCCTACCAAATGTGAGATCCTGAGTTCAAACCCCAGTACTACCACAAATGAAACTGATTTTTCTCCCATATCTACCACAATACCTGGCTGAAAGTAAGCACTTATTTTAGATATGCTGAACAAATAAGTTAATAAATGAACAATGAACACAATGTGTTTATGCAAATGGATTCTATAAACACTAAAAAGGAGAAAATTATGGGAATTTCTAAGATAAGTTTTAAGACTAGGATATGAAAAAGTTATGGAATCTATATCCTGTAACAAATCTGTAAACTGAGGAAACAAATTGTTTTAAAAAAAAAAGTATCCAGTACATAGAAAATTAGGCAAATGTACAGCAATATCAGTTCTTTAGACTTACTTCATAAAAGCAAATAGCAATAGTGTATCTGACTGGTACTTCAGGGTCATGACAAAGGCAGAAGAATGTAGAATAGAGTTCCATGTGGAAGTTTTTAGGATCAACAAAAACAATCATGGCCTGGTGGAGGTGGGAGGGAGGAGATGAAATGGAGGAGAGAAAAACGTGCATCAATGCCTAGTATTATAGTCATTTTACTTTCACTGAAATCAATGCCTAGTATTATAGTCATTTTACTTTCACTGAAATTATATCTTCCATTCACAATTTAATCAGAAATCATTTTGGCAGATCTAAATGCATGCATATTTTTCTGATTCCTACATAGACAGAACCATAAATTCCACAGAACCATAAATTCCACTCAGAACCTCTGATACATACCAGATATAAAGTTAGGTAAACACCATGTGTCAAATATGGCAATTTTTAATGTGACTAGATTTGTCACGGACTTTAAAGTTATAATCAAAGTGCTCAGTGATCATAAATATGTAATTTATTACCGGTAAGTTATAAGCACAGTTCTTTCGTACTGAAGTGTACTTCTTCTCCTGCTCTAGGATTTGGGGTGGAACCTGGCTTTCATTGTGTCCATTTTCTTGTTGTAAACCCAATGTACAAAGTTTCTTATAAAACTCCAAAAATCTCAGGTGTTGATCTGGAGTAAAAGTTCCTAAAACAAATGTGAAATTTGTGTTGAACATTTCAATTGAAAATAAATAAGAGAAAATCAAAGTACAACATAAATGTGTTTGGAACCAATCATTTAAAAAATGATTACAGGCTGGTAATGTGGTCTAGTGGAAGAATGCTTGCCTGGCATGCAGGAAGCCCTGGGTTCTACTCCTCAGTGCCACATAAGCAGAAACAGCCAGAAGTACACTGTGGCTCAAGTGGTAGAGCGCAGAGAGGCTCAAAGATAGTGCCCAGTCCCTGAGTTCAAGCCCCAGGTCTAGCAAAAAATATTTTTTAATTGTTACAGATAGTTCATAAATAAAAGCAATAAAAAGAGAAGAGCTATGATGGAGAAATCAGGTCATATTGTCTCACCCTATGTTCACTTTAATAATATTTAATGTCAATTATAAAGGCATGAACAGTGTAATATAAACTATTCCTGATCAAGTCTGCAGTTTGAAGCAAACAAGTCACTACAATAATAACACTATGGCTATTTATACATATTATTATTCATTTATAGGAAATATTCTAAAGTTTCATGCAGAAAATATTTATGAATATGTGTCTCAAAAGGTTTAAGGATTGAACCTGAAAGACGGAAAAGTCCTGGGACTTAAACTCAGGGTGTAGGTGCTATCCCTGACCTTTTGTGCTCAAGACTAGCAATCTACCATTTAAGCCACATCTCTACTGCAGGCTTTTTGGTTGAATGGAAATAAGAATCTCACAGACTTTCCTGTCCAAGCTTGGAACTATGACCCTCAGACCTCCTGAAGAGCTAGGATTACAGGTGTGAGCCACTGGCACTCAGCTGAAATCATAGGAATGGCTCCATGCTCATCAACCTTGTTAGGGGGTTAGGGACTCATAACATACTGCAAAATATTTTTCAACTATTGACTAAATATTGGAAAAGTACATAAATAAAAGTATGTTACTCACAAGATTACAGTTAGCTAAGAACTAGACAGTATGTTCAAAATACCAGGGCTCAGGGGTGATATATGACTCTAATGGTCTTAACAATGAATGACAATGAAGGGCATGTTTACTATGCACTCACATATACCAATCTTCTATTACTGTACCCCCACTCACATGCTGAAATGTATAGAACATCCACAAATTTAAAGGGCCACACTTCCTTTCATGATGCCATTCTTTCCAATGAGTTCTCTCAGTGACAAAGTCATTTCTTAGTGTACTCTAAATTACATTTTCAAAATTCTAAGATTTCTTGAGACTTTAACATATCAGAAGACAGACTTTATAAGTAAGGGGCTGAAGTTCAGTAGCTAAATTATTTTGAAAAAGTTATTAACTTTCTTGAATTTCTTAGCATATATCTTACCGTATAGTCCATGGCATAGTTTTCCTAAGTAGAAAGATAAAGAAACAAGAATGGATTCATCCGCTTTGAAAGACTTTTCACAAAATGATTTCACTAAAGGAAGTATAGTTTGACTTCTGTCATCTGAAAAACAAAACAATATATTCTTTAGCTCCATTGGGCTACTCTATACATGTGAAAAACAGTTCATACACAGAAATTCGTATGTTAGCTTCAAAGTAATGGAAAACATTTGAAAACAGTAATGATGCAGGTCAAGTGGCAACTGAAGGAGAAGGAAGGGATGGGGTATGGGGAGACATTATCAAAATATGCTAGGCCTGGCTTAAGTAACAGAGCTCCTGCCTACCAAACTCAAGACCCTGACTTTGATCCCCAGTACCATCAAAAAATTAAGACAAGGTTCTGAGTCACAGCAGGTCCCAGGAACTTTCTGACATGTCCTTATATCATCTCTTGGCACGCTGCAGCTTATACTCACTGGATAATTTTTTAATTGAAAACAAGCTTGTAATATAATCTGTATATTCAATTCTATCACTTTTACTTCTTACTTTTAGTTCTTTACAAAGCTGACCAATTCTTCAAATGTATCTGCTTAGGTAATATTTCCTGACTGAGTAGCAATAGTTCTCTCTTTCAAATCCTTTCCAAAGTTCCTATGGTTTTCTTAAATATTTAGAAATATTTATTATATTTATTACTGCTCATTCCTATTATTATCATATTTCAAACCAATATATTGTTTTATTACATGACATTCATCCAACATTTGCTGACTTGTAGAAAAAGCATTAAAGTAAGCAACAGAAATTGAAAGGCAAATAATAATAAATAGTTCCAGAACTTGAGAAACAAACCAGCAAGGAAAAAAAAAATAAAAATAAAAAAGTAAGACAATGTGATGACCATTTTAATAGCTGGCCAGGGCAGAGATCTGACAACTTTTGTAGATTATCTGTCCCAACTACTCAACTCTCACTACAGCACCAAAACAACCACATACAACAAACAAATCAAGCATGGTGTGTTCCAATAGACCTCACAGATGCAGTACAGGCCTGTCTAGGACTAAAGGTAGTAATTTTCCAACTCTTGGTACGTGGTATTTGGAAAGATGTCAGGGATGAAACAGTATTTGAACTGGGCACAACATGAGAAGAGAAGTCGGCTAGAGTTAAAAATAGAGGAATGGGAATATCAGGGAGAATGCTAGTAGTATAATGGTTGTCACAATTGCAATACTACAGCACAGACACAGGAGGAATGGGAAAGAATTGGAAGAAGGAAACCCTGGGCAGGGCCATGGTAACAGCCTACAAAGGTATTGTAGGTGAGGAGGTCAAAGGTAATGCTAAACTGTCAGTTTTGTATGGAGCCTGGGGTGTCCCCAGTCAGTAAAGAGATTCATTAAATCACATATCATGCATTACAGTTTTTACTCCTTTGGTTCATCGTATTATTTAAATGATTATTCATAATTACAATCCACATTGAATAATCTTTAGAGACTCTCCTAATTCAGATAAAATGTTAGTAATACCTGCGAATGTAATTTGGCAACTTACACAACTGAGTCTTGATATTGACTCCTCCAACTTTCATCCTATTAAGATGATTATATGTTTTACTAATAGATTAAGTGCATACAGTCTAGGTACATTCAGTAGAGCAGTTAGTTATTTTTGTGACTTAATTCACATAACACTTAAATATCATATGAGACAAGTATGAAATGTGTCAAAATCAGATGCCATGAAGGTCAAGTTAGAGCACTAGACGCCAAATAAGGAAGACTCATCAAAGGAGAGGTAGAGAGGCTCAACATTATCATTGAACTAAATATACCTTATTCCTTATCAGTGAAACAAGCATATGGAAAATATTCTTTCATAAAGATGTACCTGTATCAAATATGTCAAGCAGATTAACCAAAGTTTCAAAAGCTGCAAGTCGTACACTGCTGCCTTCATCCCTAGACAGCTCTATTAATTCAGGGAGCACCACACTTTTTGTAAGTTCTGTCCTGCACAATAAGCGAGAGAAGAAAAAAAAATCAAATTAACAAACCCGTAATAAGAACTTAAAAACATGTGAGCTGGCTAGGTGCTGGGGGAAAAAACACATAAGAAAGCCTCATGTTATCTTTACCCTGCAGGAGCCTGCAGAATAGTTGGGAAGACAATACAAATGTAAGAAATACTAATAGTAACTTCATAATGATGAAATCAGTTCTACTTCCCCTACTGTAGTATCACCTAGAGAGATTTTAGATGCCTTTATAGAGTTCACATTAAACTTTATAAACTGCACTATCATTTTCTACTTTATACAACTTCAAGAAATGATAAGTCAGAAAAATTCAAAAAAACTTTAAGAACTGGCTAACAAGAAACATTTATCAGTAATTGTAGAAACTCAAAGCTTTCTGACCTAGATTTTAGCACATATGTTATATTTCCATTCACCTAAAACATGGCATTACAATAACTTCTATATAGAAGAATGATATTCCACATTAAATGTTTTACCTAACAAATTGAAATGTAACTGCTTTTAGGAAATATGTAAGATTTATAATATAATCACAAGTGTTTCCACTCATTTCCCAGAAGATAAACAGGAGGTCTAAGACATGACCAGTTTTCTTGGAATCATGATGGAAGACCGATTCATAATTGACATAGATGTCTGCAGAGTACAAAGAAGTCGGCAGCAGATTATTTCTTCAGTCCTCAGACTCCAGTTCTGGAGAAGTTTTCTTCCATGGTGACTGTGTGATGTTCTGTTACATGACATGATCCTTCATCATGGATATCAGCTATCCACATTTAGTCCATTCTTCCCTGACTACACTAGCTATCTCTAGCAATTTCAAACAGTCATCTTCTGTATCAATGCATCTTCTGTATCAATGACTGCATACTCAATCAGTTCCTGTTTACTTCCTGTTTACTATGTTCTTTTGAATTTTTCCATTCCATTTTTAATTTTTTTTGGGGGGGGTCTGGTCATGGGGCCTGAACTCTGGGCCTGGGCGCTATCCCTCAGCTCTTCAGCTCAAGGCTAGCGCTCTACCACTTGAGCCACAGTGCCACTTCCAGCTTTTTTTCTTTTTGCTTATGTGGTGTTGAGGAATCGAACCCAGGATCTCATGCATGCAAGGCAAGCACTCTACCACTGAGCCACCTTCCCAGTCCCTCCATTTTTAATTTTTAAGAAAATATTTCTTAATTTAAAATAGATTTATTAAAGTTTTCCTCTCAACAACTTTGTCATCATCATAAAATTCTCAATCTCATTTTATATCAGGGAGATTTCAAAGAATTTTTTGGGACTGGTCACAACAGCTCCTGATAATCCTAACTACTCAGGAGACAAAGATCAGGAGGTTCAGTTCAAGAACATCCTGGGTAAAAAGCTGGTGATGCTCAAATGATCTGGTCATATAATACCAGCTACAATGGAGGCATAGGTAGAAGGACTGTGATCCCAGGCAGATTCAGGATAAAGCAGGGCCTTATCTAAAAAATAACTGCAAGCTAATTTAAAAAAATAACAAACAAATGGGACTGGAGACATGACTCAAGATGTAGAGGACAGACATCACAATGCCCTGAATTCCAATCCAGGTACCACCAGTGGAAGGTTTTTTAAAATAAATCATTTACTAATTTTCTCTATTAGAGCACATCTTTAGTTGCTTGTCTTGTGAATTGTTATTCAAGGTGATGTGTGCCTATCTTTAGGTCACTGGGGGCATTACAGTGGACTTTACCCTGTTCTTCCTCCTCTTTTTCATTTCAGAGCCATGAGGTGCAGGCCTTGCCAAGTGCTTCCCACCACAATGGGTTGCCTCATCAACAGCCCAAAAGGCAGAACCAACTATAGGCTACATCCTCCAAAACCTTTTCTTTTCTACAAGTTGGTAGTCTTAGATATTTGTTTCAGTATGAAAACAGACTGATACAAGTAGCAATCAGGTATCAGTAGTTTTTTTTCAATGATCGCATCATGAAGTCCTGTAGTTATGCTCATAATAGGACAGAAGAATTCAAAATTAAATAAATGTACATATGATCAAGAAAATTAGTTTCTTGAATGGATTCTAACCAAGCTAATTTGATTCTTCAAAATTTTGCTTTTATAAACTAGACCTTAATATACATATATGTCCTAAATATACATCCTAAATTTATTTTCAGAACACTAATTTGAACACATTTAACCCTCTCATTTTTGACCGTAACAAAATGTCAGATGGCAAAAAAAAATATTCAACGTTTTGATAAAGTGATGAAAGTAACAGTATGTTCTACCAGTTTCTGGTCCTGACCAATAAATACAGATTCAAGCAAGGCTAATAATGCTCTACACTGATCTAAACAGTGTCACTGAGACTTAGAAGAACAATGGGAAAAAAAGGTGGTTCTGAGATCAATATAGGTCTAAAACTCTGATGCTTCAACTGCTTAAATCCTGATTAGTAAGAGTGGCTACAGTGCTTAAGCACTTGTGACATCTGAAGTCACAATGGGCTTAAATATCAGCTCAACTTTAAAAAAAATTAATAACAGTATAAAAGGACATTAAATCCACCATCCTAGTTTGTGAAATAAAGAACCAGATAAAAACCAGTGTAACTTTGAAAAGAAGAGGCACATGTTTTCTATAACAATTTAGAGTCCAGAAAAGATTTCCTTAAATATACTTAAACTTGATATGATGTATGATTTACAGGAGAACAGACTGCCTGCCTGAACCTCTCCTACCTGAACTCTACAAAGAGCAAGAATAGCTACAGTAAGGGTGGAAGCCTAGAGTTGCACCAGGATACAGAAAGGTTTCCAGGAGAATAATCTCACCTGAAACACAATTACACAGCCAGAGAATGACCAGCCAAAAGAACCGGTGACTATATCCCAAGCATGGCTTATACTGGAACATTTCCTTTCTTGGATCTAGGAATTTGGTATAGTAACCAAATAACTGAGGTGAGAAGGAAAGATGTTAATATGAATTGAATGTTAACACCATGCTAAGTGCATTGCCTTTTATCTCCTTGAATCTCCTTGAATCAAGAGGTTCTTATTACAAACATTTTGGGAGGTCACATAAAAAGATAGCTTTCAACAGCATGCTTTCATGGAAAATAGGACCAGGATATATTTGTCTGTCAACCCAGAAATAATACTATGGCATAAGGAACTGAAGGTGCACTTACCCAATGCCTTGAGCTATGGTTTCTAGTTGCCGACACATACAAGATCGAACTTCATATTCTACATCTTGACAGAGTGATTTTACCAGGGGAAGTATTTCTCTTTTAATACTGAGGGAGGAGAGAAAAGAAACATTTAAATGTGTGAATGCTTTATATAACAACTGAAATTTTTAAGCAATTATCATCAAAATCTTAAATAATTTTACTAAAAATATACTTTAAGGCTCTATAGTTTATAGTGCACATATGTTATTAAATTGAGATGCTCTATCAGTTACTTCTTAAAGATAACATGTATAATTGCTATATGGTTAACAATTAGATTTGTATTATTCCATACAACATGAAAGTTTAGCTATTTTAACTATATAGAATTCCCAAGAAGAAAGAAGTCTATAATTAAGAAGCATCGCTCATAAGAAGACAAAAAAAATATATGGATACTTACGTATTGATATCAAATTTGTTGCTGAGCTTTCCCAAGATTTTGCAACTAACTAAACGAGACTGGATAGTTTGGGAAAGCTGTGCCTTGGAGACAAGTGGATTCAAAATCTGAAGGGAAAAATTAGAGAACAAATTTACAAAGGTTTGTATGTTATCACTGATCTCAGCTATTTTCTTCAAGGAGTATTTTAATGTTGTAAGTGATTTTAGAACTCCTGAACTGCAGTCTGAGATACATAGCTGTTCATAACCTAATCACTTTATGTTTCTTCTAGGCTAAGGTAAAGAAAATTATAAACGATAAATTAATAATTGGAGATCAGCATAAAGTAAGGCTAATGGGGAATTTTACAATGATGTGAATGCATACAAAGTATAATTTGAACATTTTCAACAGAAAAAAGCAAATTAGTTAGTTGTTCCTTTAACTTCACTTTTATTCCCTTATAGACTAATTTTAATATTTGGATAAGACAGAAAACAAATTGTCTTTAGGCAATCCTGTCATTTGAAAAAAAAACATTCAAAGATGGCACTGTATCACATATATTAGGCACTCAAAAACCCAGTGGCATAACAGACTGCCAAGATCTGTGAAGATCAATCTAATTCTAGTCCTTGCTCCTTACCTTGTCCAAGTAACCTTGCTATTTCTCACCCCAGGTTTCTCATCTACTCAACATGGATATCAGAATACAGTTCTACTATTCCATGGACTCTCATACATGGATCACATGTTTCATTTCTTCTCAACCAAAATGACTGAATGAATAAATGTCATTAAAGCAAAAACTCTGAAATATTTTTAAAAATCTTAAAAATTCACTGTCTAAAGTTAAGCCGCAGTACACTGCATACCACCCTTCAAAATATACAAATAGCAAATCTCTACATTATGTTTAGCATGTAAATATGCTAAATTCTAGGGGATGGCCAAAGAATGTTTGTATAAATTTGCTTTATATTTTTCCTATTCTGTCATCATGGGACAGATATACTTAATAATAATGAAAGTTAAAAGGCAAAAACAAATTGGGAATAATACCTAGCAATAATACTTGCAAGTATAACAAAAGACTAAAAAATAATGATAGGGGTGACATTGACTAAGATATGTTGTACTCACAAACTAACATATGAAGTTGAAATTGCTTTGTACCACAATTTAAAGATAATTGGAAAAAAAAGAGAGACTGACAACCGTAACAGATAAATGGCGTGTATAAACAAAAGTTAAGGGATAGGATTAGATAATTCCAAAAGAATAAATAGATCTGATATTAATGTAATACATTGAAAATACTCAACAGTACAACTTAAAAATTCTAATTAAAATGAAATCCTATTTTTATCCCATCTAATCCTGGCAAAAGTCCCAGGAAACAGCATTATCCTATATCCTTAGTTAAGAGTTTAAGAACCTTACTGCCCTCTAACGCAATAGTCAATTTTCTGGAAGCTACAGTTTAAAAAATTGTCTGGAAAAAAGGCAAGTTCTATAGAGATGTTCCTTAAAGTTTTGTAAGAATAAAATTTAAGCCTAAAAGCAGCCTTAAATAAGTAAAATAGTGTGCAGTGACTATCAGTAAGTTAAGAAAAGAGAGAAAGTGTCATAAATAGATTCAATATTATCACTAACGTGGCAAACAACAACCATATATAAAGAAAAATTTGAAAAGAAATACATCAGGATTTGAAAAGTAGGCAGATACAGAATCATGATTTGTTTCTTCCTTCTATTTTTAAATTTTTTATTGTTTTTATAAAAGTGATTTACAGAGGGGTCACCGCTTCAATAAGTCAGGTAATGAGTGTATTTCTTTCTGGACAGTGTCACCTCTTCCTTCTATTTCCCGTATAAGTCAAATTCCCTATAATGCTCATATTTTGTTTTCACAATGGGAAATATATTCCTTTTAAAAAGATTTATGAAAGAAATGGACAATAAATTTACCTCATGCCGTAGAGTTTCCTTGGGCAACACCTCTATCACAGACAGAAGAGTTTCCAGCCATGCGTTGCTGACACCTGAGAAACATAGGTACAACAGGCCCCCTTAACTGTCTCATTGCAAATACTATTTCAACTCACCCACTAGTAGGTGCAGCAGCACTCGATAATGATGTAAGAGCAGCATTTTTATACCATTCTGAGTTTCTCTAGTTTTTATCTTAGCTAACATTTAGAAAATTTTTAACTTGATGAGCTTGAAGGCGATATCTTGACCCAATGTATGCTGCTTTGTTGTAGCATTGTATGTATACATAAATGTAGAATTAAAAATCCAAGAAAAGTATACAATAAATCAAAAGATGAACTACAGAGTCTTTTTAGATTTACAGGAAAATGGATTTTGTGGGCTTTGTAGAGAGATTGTCATGACTACTTTAACTCATGGCTCAGCTCAGCCATTAGCCTGGCCTCCTTGAGATTTCCTCAGCAGACTCAAGAATGTAAGTAGCCAGGCACCAGTGGCTCATCTGTAATCCTAGCTACCTAGAAGGCTGAATTCTGAGGATCGAAGTTCAAAGCCAGCCTGGGCAGGAAAGTCCATGATACTCTTATCTCTAATTAACCACCAGAAAACCAGAAGTGGTGCTGTGGCTCAAAGTGGTAGAGCACTAGCCAGCACTAACCGGTATCTCTGTGTTCCAGGTGCAGGAGAATGATCTGCAGGAAAGAGTGGGCATAGGTGTGGACTGGCACTGATTCTTCCTGCAGGATGGTCAGGAATGACACCGCAGCAGTTAATTGCATTTCCACGCTGGCAACATGCAGGACCTCCTGTACAATCAGAAAGAGTTTGCTGATCACAGAATGAGAGGTCAGGACATTATTTTCAAAAATCTCGGGATACAGAAACCAAATACAGTCACATCCCACAAATTGCCATTTACAGCCTTTAAGGAGATGCATTAGTTGTTATTTAAGAGAATTGTATTCATATGTCTAATTAAGAATACATTAAGCCACAGAAATCTTAAATGCTTAAGAATTAGGAATAAATGAAAACCATAAACAGTCTATAACCCTTCTAGTTTGTTATTGATACTATGCAGATGTTCTCTCAGTCACAATAATAATGACAAAGCTTAAGACAATTGCATGTGTATACTTCTGCTTCAGAAATAAACACTGTATGTTCTACTATAAGGAGGAAGAAACTAGAGAGGGCAAATATAGTTCCCTTCCAAACAACTGATAAGAACACAAATCACCATGCTGAAAACAATTTCCATCAATCCCCATTCACCATGTAATGAATTTTAAAATACATATCCAAATTTAAAGTCTACATTAGAATAGTTTAATATGTAAAAAGTCAGAAAATAACTAGGTTGGTGAGACAGAGGAAAAGAGGAAGAGAGAGTGTGTATGTGTATGTGTATATAATATAAAGGCAGCTAGAAAGCATTTTTGTTCAATTATGGAAATTCCTCTTGTCCATTTCATAACTAATACAATAAAGTTACTAGAACATTATGATACTGATAGTCATAAAGTTCCATTTCTATGCTCTCAGAAAAATTAATCTGTATTACTTCCTTACATGTAAAATGTGAATTATAGCACTATCTTTGTAATGATTTTAGCCATTTAAACAGCTTTTATATGACTTGCTGGCCCAGCCTATTGTCTATAATAAACATTTAATTAGTGACCACTAATTATCTTGTTCTATGCTACTTTTTTCTATGCTACTTTTAAATGTCTAGTAGGAATCTCACCTTATACACCTCTTAGTCTCTCCCCTAAATCTGTTCTTCCTGTGGTCTTTTTCATCTCAATAAGTAGTAAATTACAATCTGCCATTCTAGCTATTCAGTCCCCAAACTTTAGGGTCATCCTTAGTTTCTGCCATTCCTTCACTGGTCCTAATCACTCCTAAAGGAGTGACCTTCAACATAGATCTAGAATATGACTACATGTCACCTCTACCTTTACCACTCTTTTCCTAGCCACAATCATCTCCCTCCTGAACTTAATAACCTTTACCTATTCTGATTCTAAGACCGCCCCTCCAACAGCAAAAGAGATTTTCTTAAGATCAAAGACAGATCATGTCATCTTTCTGCTCAAAATTCTCCAATGTCTTTTCTTCTCACTAAAATCAATGTCCTTTTAGTGACTTTCAGGATGTGTTCTTGATTCCTACCTAGCCAAGATTTCTACGTAGTGGCTCCATGAGCTCTCTCAAGCTATACATATAACATATTTTCAATGACTACTCCCCACCTTATGACCTTATTTTCAACTAAAAATGACCTTCTATAGCCCAGCTCTTGACACATCACCATCATCCAATACACAGCAGTTATTTGTTTGTGGCCTATCAAACACTCAAACATGACTGGGAGAACTGTTTGTTCACTGTTGTCCCACAGGCATGTCACAGGCATTTGGTAATTTCTGAATGACCAATCTCTCTTACTCTTTCACCTAAGCTATTTGCTCTTAGTGTTGTCTCCCCACTTCTCATACCTCCCAAAAGATGGCATCAAGATATTTTTGAGGTGAGTCCTAAAGATTGGGGATTGGCAGTGATAAAAAGTAAAGCAAATGAATGTCACAGACAAGCATTCTCCATCTTCTTTCTGTGGTGTCTACAAGGAGCTATTCCTTCCGCACTCTGCCCCAACATCTTACCATGAATTGACATCCCATACCCAGACTCGTGCCTTCAGTACAGTAGGATCTAGTCATCATCTGATGACTAGATACGGGAGACAACATGTCTAGTTTTACAGCAAAAGAAACATCTGAGCCATTAAGTATTTTGCCAAAGGCCAGTGCACTAACAACTGTCAACTCTTCATCTTAACCTTTTCCTTTCAGGAGTCAAACACTGCCTTCTTCCTCACCAACCCTTCATGTCCATTTATCATGATTAAGACATAATCTAACCCAGTCCTGAGTCTTCATGGGGGGACTGTGGGAGACCTGGAAATGGATGTTGCTGTAGTAAATATGAAAGACTATGGCGAACTACAGAGAGCCTATCACATATATGGGTGGCTTGGCTTGGTTCTGAGCTTTTGAATCATATGCACAAATGTTATTCTACCAGTTTTTTTAACTAATAGTCAACTGACACATCCAAAAATTCTTGGCTGAGAGAAAAAAAGAAGGAATGATAAGGTATAAAAAATTGGTCTTTGAAACCCACCTTCCCATCTCCCTTATTTTATTGTTTCCAGAACAAACCTTTGTTCCATACTAACAATTTGGAATCAGAAAACACTTTTAAGATATCTGATGTGGCCAGTATATATTGCTTACAGGTTTCAGAAATCAAATCTTTTATTTAGAAACTGAAAGGTCTTTGAAAAAATATGTATAGATATTAAATTGTGAGACCACAGTGCATAGTCCAGTTCACACAAATCTACTGTTTTAAGTTCCAATAGCTGTGTTCTGCCCCCTACAGTCATTAGTCCTGGGTTTGAACATATGCAACAGGAGGCAAAGAAGAACATGAAGAAATCTTCCACTTTATTCTTCTTACTGTGACTTATTCTTGACTTCCACAGCAACATTTACCCCAATTATTTTGCACTTAATTTTCGAGAAATCCTCAACTCTTATCAGGATTTGGATTTTTCTCTTGTTGTGCTGATGTCAACATCTGGAACAGTCCACTGTTAAGAAACCAGCACAGACTAAGAAATCAGTTGATATCTAAACATGTTTTCTGAAATGCAATACAGTAAGCTTGATACTTACCAAAAAGTACTCTCTTCCACAGAGCCACACTCTCTGGACACACATGTGAGATCCGTACTCTCTGGGTAAATATGTGTGCATCCTCCTGGACCTCGGAAACACTGAAAAGTAAATTCCTCTATTGCCTCAGTGCATGCCTGCGCCAGTTCTCTCTCCTTTCACACACTACCACATTGTGAGCAAACTAAACTAGCCTCAGCTACTCAGAAATAAGACTTCTGATGAATGAGATGCACTTCAAGATTGAGAAAACTATACGCATTCAAGGAAGGAAAATGAGCTAGAGATGTCTGGGTTTAAAACTCACTCTTTAGTTAGCATAACTGATGCAAGAAAACATCTTGTAAACAATGTAATAGCACCAAGGGAAATTACTCTGTCTCCAGTGAACCTGCATTATACCCACCAAAAAAAGATGCTTCTCTTTACAACACATAGTATAGAGAAGCATTATATAAACCAGTGGCTATTACAAACAATTGGATACATTGAGTTCATACATACTAAATTAATCTTTTTTTGGGGGGTCCGGTCGTGGGGCCTGAACTCTGGGCCTGGGAGCTGTCCCTCAGCTCTTCAGCTCAAGGCTAGCACTCTACCACTTGAGCCACAGTGCCACTTCTGGCTTTTTTCTTTTTGATTATGTGGTGCTGAGGAATCGAACCCAGGACCTCATGCATGCAAGGCAAGCACTCTACCACTGAGCCACCTTCCCAGCCCCATACTAATCTTACTGAAGAAAACTAGAAAACACATTTGGTAAATAGCTCAGGTAAAAAGGTAAGGGAGCTCTAAAATCACAAAGTACGTTTGTGTATTTTAACATCACTAATTATTTCTAAATAACTGGAGTTTAAAATTTAAATACTGAAGAACTAAGATCTTCCAATATTGAGGTAGTGAAGAAAACAAATGTGAAAATTTTCAGTAATTATCAATGAGTAACAGCTCTTTCTGGTATGAAATTGTAAACTTATAAGACTTTAAAACCAAATTAAAGATGGATAATTAGAAAACGTCGACCCCAAGACACCTTTAACAATTCACTGTGACACATCATCCTCTTCTGTGTTCCTCTCACATTCCACACCAAACGATAGGGAAAAAACTAGTTGTGAGCACAGAAAATCAAGTTGAGAAGGAAATACAACATGAGCAGTGAATAGGAATAATGAAGGAAATGTCTTACCCTTCGTATGTCTGTATATATTAAAATGAGCAGTGAAATGCCACTGGACAATTAACATATACTCAATAAAATGAGTGACAAGATTAAGGTCCTATCCAGGTTGTGCGTACTAGCTGGAGCAGAAAGGGCAAAAGAAGAGGGAGAAGAAAGGTGCATAGTGTCAAAGTACTTTATGTATATGTGTAAAATATAGCAATAAACATTTTTGAGGGTTATGGAAGGTGGGAAGGGAGATGAGGGAGAATGACAGAGCCTAAACAAGGTATATTATTTACATATAAGGATATGTTAAAATAACTCCCCATACAGTTTATTAATGCTAATAAAAATGTGGATAAAATCAGCTCCTCAGTGATTAAAAGAAGGTTCATGAGGAGGTACACAGAGGAATATCTTTCAGAAAAGCCCTTTCTATAAAGGATGCAATGTCCCGCTATGCAAAATCATGAGGTTACCAAAACAAATGAATCTCAATACAAGGGTTTTGAAACTGCCTCCAACTATATTACTCTGCTAAGTCATTTTTACATTCAATAAATTAGAGTCATGGATAACTTTATTATTTAGGCTTATAACAGAAAGGAGCAATTTAAAATTTCACAAAGAATATGTGTGCTTATGAAAGAATTATCTACTTGATGAAAGTGATAGCTATAATCAACTTTTTCAAGTGATTTATAAAAAGTTGAATTACTCAAGTGTTTTCTGAAAAAAATGTAAACTATTTTCTGGAGGGAAGAGAAGCCATGCAAAGTCTGGCAATTTCTATAAGTAAATGGAAATAGGGCTGATTTTTGTGTCAGTTATTACACTTTGGCCTTTCAAACTCTTTTAAATAGTCCACTAAAACTCTAATTCTATTGAAATAATG